CATAAATGGATAGCTATGACAACACACATTTCTTATGTGGTTTTCCAACAGAAGTGGACTTTTGCTTCCAGCAAGGTCAAACATCTACTGCTCCAATAACATACAAATTGTCTGTTAAAGGACCTATTGAACTAGCAACTGAAAATGTACCAAAGCCACTTATTGGATTTATGAGGGATTGTTGCTTTGCCATTCAGGTGCGTGCTAATGGAATCCCAATAATAAGATTAGATGACTATAACTTAGCTACGGACGACGGTGAGGAATAAAGGATGAACGTTTATTTTTAAAGCTTATAAATGAGTTCTTCATCAAGCTCTCGTGAACCTTCACCATCTATGAAACAAACTTTACCAAACGATTATGGAGCACCTATTGAATATTTCTTACGAGCTGCACAATGGCAAAGAGCAGTCTCACCAAGGTTAGGTGTTCCACCAGCTCCTGTCAAAAATAGCATTTGTCAAGTCCTTATATAAAATATGGTCTCCCACTAGGTTTGCTAGCTACAGCAGGAGCAGTTATGATGTTGAAAAGAAATAAAGCAAATGTTGTAAATAATACTGAAGTAGCTGAAGTTAAACAAACTCCAACACCTTCACAAGCAAAACCTTCAATGACTCCTGAACCTATGGAAGTACAAACTCCTGTTCAAAAGTCAACTCCTAAACCGACTCCAACATTTAAACCAGAACCTACTCCTCAAATAAATCGTAAAACTCCTGCGTTTCCTTACTGAAAAAATAACGTTATTTTTATTTAATATTAAAATTTTTATTTAATTAAAATGACTACTAAAGTCACTGAAGCAATGAAACAAAAGTTTTTGGTAGAATACATTAAATCAGGAGCGGTTCCAGAAGGTTTTTACGTTCATACTATGAAGGATGGTAGAGTTCAGTTTAGAAAGATAAAGCAACCATTAGATAAAGAAGGAATTTTGAGAAAGATTAAACTTCATGAGGACAACATTGCTGAACTTAAGAAGAAGTTAGAAGAGTTGGAGAAAGGAAGAGAGTTATAAAGCAATGAATTCAACAGGGTGAAAAACCGGGTGAAAAAAGAGGTGAGATCTCACCACTTCACCTAAATTTATTTTTGTGTTATGTTTTCATACGTGTGAGGGTGGTGATATCATTAATTTTTAAGTTTATTTTTTATTTTATTTTTATATAAATGACAGAACAAAAGCAACTCATACAAATCGAAAAATATAACAAACATACATTTAAACATTTATTCTTCCTTCCTGAGTATAACATGTTCTTTACACTTCATCCTAGACCAGTAGATTATACATTGACTGTGTATAAAGATTGTCATGGTAGTTTTATAAAAACTTATGATGATGAAGGTAAGTTAACAAGACTATGCATTTCAAAACTTGAGAAACTTTATGACTTCAAGTATGACTACAATAGAGTTAACATTGACGATGAAGATATAGAAGAAAATTTATGAGAACGTTTATTTTTTCATTAGTGAGTTCGTTAGTGAGGTGAAATGGTTGGCGGTTTTGTAAATATTTAAGGTTAAGTTAGTGTTGTCGTTTGTGTTGTAAAATATACGTTAACGGTTTCGTAAAGTGTCAAAATCACATATAATGGGTAAGTAGGTGCGCAGTGCCACAGTACCCAACTAACCCATACTAACTGACTAATAGCCAAGTCTTGATATCATGCAGGGATAATATACATAGATAAGCAATTATATTTTATAGTAGTAGTATTCAGAAATTCTTACAATTTACAATACAATTTTCAAAAATGGATAAAGACTAATAGCCAAGTCTTGATATCATGCAGGGATAATATACATAGATAAGCAATTATATTTTATAGTAGTAGTATTCAGAAATTCTTACAATTTACAATACAATTTTCAAAAATGGATAAAGACTAATAGCCAAGTCTTGATATCATGCAGGGAGACTCTCTACAAATACAAAAATTGATTATCATAAGGAAATACAAATTTATCAATTTTCATGTGAAAATTACATAAATTTGTTCTCCAATAAATAGCAATAATACTTTGAATGTTATATTAAGTAATATAGCTTCAGGTAAATAAGCTTACACTTCAAAAATATACTGTTTATTCATTAATTTTAAAAAAAGTCCAAATTATCTAATCTTGCTTACTCTTCCTTTAAACTTCTTTGTGCCAAATTTAATATTGCCTTCAAAGATGGAATAAGGACATTAGGTTCAATCCTTCGGCTTTCGACAATTTCCAAAATGTGTTGAATTAATTTCAAACATTCATCGTGTTTTGAAGCTCTTTGCTCAACAATCTGATTACCTGCCCTTGTAAGAATTCTTACTGCTCTTTCTTCATTCAAAACATTAGCGACTTGAACCTTAATAATCGCATTTGGAATCACAACAGTGATGAGAGTTATGACGATGTCATCAATGCGCTCATTTTTCTTACCCAAGAAAAATGTTTGCTTTAATTGATGAAAGTGTGATTCCGCAATGTTATTCGTGGAATCACCTTCTCCACGATATAACATCATCCAATGTTCTTTGGTTCTTCTCCATTGTTTATCGAAATACTTCAAAGCGCGCGGTTCTTCTTCTTCTAACATTGTTGTCAAGAACTCATATGTTTCATCAGACTCTTCAGCCAGCTTTTCTGCATTCGTTGCATCTGCACGTAATGTCAAAAAGTCCATTGCTAAATAGAAGTTCTCAAAATTCTGTGGATTGTCAAAATAGCTTCCAACTTTTGCACATGCGCGTAAAACATGCACAGCGCACCAACTGAGCTGCGCAAGAGGAAATCCGTCCTCAATTGCGCGAGCAATGTTTAGCGCACAGTCAGCGCTCCAATGCTGTGGATCCAGGTGCGCAAACTCACAGAATTTCACCAAACATTCTTGAATTTTTTCAGATGTCTGAGGGTTCACTAAAAAATAGCAAAAGGGGAAAATTGTGTTTTGACTTGTTTTCATTGTTACTGCAAACAATTGGATCTTTCCTTTAATTAAAGAATGAGTGGAATCGACGTGGAGAGGGTTATCAATGCTATGCACCAATTCTTTTGCAGCAAAAGGTGCATATATGATTGTAAACTCGGAAAAATCTCCATTGTAATCAAATTGAACGAGATCATCTGGGCACTCTTCCTGTAAATTATTCAAAAATGCTTCCAAAGAAGTGTAAGGATCGTTTGATAATCTTTGTGCAATAATCTCATCAAGGCGATAAAATTTGTGCTTTAAAGCATCAGTAGACTGCGCGAAAAGTTTCATCGTTTCTTTGTTATTCGTATCAATTCCGAACTTATCATGTAATCAAAGTCAATTTTATTTTTCATATTCAAATGGACTGAGTGTTAACATTTAACATTTTTTGCTAATTGTCGTCAAAAATTAGGCGTAAAGCAAAAATTGATATTTCATATGGTTTTATGATAGATAAGCATTATATTCCCACTCATTATATTCGTAAATTTTGAGGTTTATCCTTCGCTTTTAAGATCATTGAATTTGATTTTTATATAAAATAGTTATATATTAGAAAATAATATGAGTTTATGTGATATTATTTTTCAGAAGATTTCATTCTATATGCCTATGAAAAGTACTCTCAAAACCAACTTTTTCCTAATTATAATTAAATCTAGAATATTGTATTATGCTTAGTATTATTTCATTTTTCTCATTCAATTTAGAATTTACAAATGTCAAAAAATTGAGAGCTGTCACTTTTGATGAATTTCTGTTTATTACAAAATGTCTAAAACGAAGACTTTTAGGGGCGTTGGCGACATATAGGCGTCACAATGTAAACCATTCAAATTTGAATGGTTTATGTGCGTCATATAAGGAAAATTCAGAAGGCCGGCGTCATAGAAGAATTGTCAGATATTTTAGAGCCTTAATCGTCGGGGAAGTAAAAAGTGACTATGAGAAAAAATATTGCATAATATAATATAGTAAACAATATTAAACAATAAAGATTTTGTGATAAGTTTTCAGAAGCGAATTGAATAATTTGAGACAACTTTTGATTAATTAAAGAAAATCATTTTAGACTCTCAGAGAGGGAATTGTAGCCTGCGAGGCACTGGACTAGATCCAGTACTTCGCAGGCATCAATCCTTGCTCACGAGCTCTGAAACTTTGGTTGCATAAGATGCAATCAGAGCTAAAAAAAGAGCTCAAGAGAAGGAATTGTAGCCTGCGAGGCACTGGACTAGATCCAGTACTTCGCAGGCATCAATCCTTGCTCACGAGCTCTGAAACTTTGGTTGCATAAGATGCAATCAGAGCTAAAAAAAGAGCTCAAGAGAAGGAATTGTAGCCTGCGAGGCACTGGACTAGATCCAGTACTTCGCAGGCATCAATCCTTGCTCACGAGCTCTGAAACTTTGGTTGCATAAGATGCAATCAGAGCTAAAAAAAGAGCTCAAGAGAAGGAATTGTAGCCTGCGAGGCACTGGACTAGATCCAGTACTTCGCAGGCATCAATCCCTGCTCTGGATCTTTCACAATATGGATTCTTCCTTTTATCAAAAGTTTTCTCAATATTTGTTAATTCTCTCAAAAGTTCTCACAATATTTTTATTTCGTATATATATTAAAATTAATATTATAATTGTTATTTAATTTTAAAATGAATTCAAAACCTCAGTCAATATTTTGAAATACTTCCTCTCTGTTTTTTGACATAATAATCGTTATGTAATCTATGACGCCGGGTGTCTCAATTCTCCCTTTGACGCACATAAACCTCAGAAAATTGAATAGTTTACATTGTGACGCCACCCCCATTCCAACCCTAAAACGAATGTCTTTTGAGATTCTTTCTTTGCAAGTCTATATTTCTATTTGGTAGCTCTTCAGTTTTCGTATGTTATCGCTCAGTAATCTTTCTTAATTTTTGTATTTCATCTCTCATAATAAAATCTGGATACATGTAAATAAATGTTTGAATGCATATTAAAAATCTATATATTTAGTTATAATTTTACAAACAAACAAAAATATTTTATCTAGATAATAATTTGAGTAACGATCTGATATCATATAGTTCAGACGACTTTTTCTCAATCTTGCTATCATCTGGTTCTGTGATTAATTGTACTTGAAAACTTATTTCTTTCTTGTCCTTTGCTTCTGGATTTTGTTGGTCCGAGGGATCTTGAGTACGTGGTTTTAGGAGTTCCTCGATCGTACGCGGTTTGATTTGTGGGGTTGGTGTTTTCGGAATAAGTAGTTTTTTATCGGTTTTTCTTGGTGTTGATGGTCTTTTGTTGAGGTCCAGATTTGTTGGTCCTAAAAGTAATGATTTGTTTGGATTATCTGCGTTTTCTTTAGAATGAACCAATTCTACGTTGTAATTTGACATATCTGGTTGTAGTAATAGTAAAGGAAGTTCTCTTTTGTTTGGTTTAGGCGTTGATGACTTAATAGTTCGCTTTCTAGGAGTAATTGGAGTTTTAGGAATAATTTCAGCTTTTGGAGCAATTTCTGGTGGATTACTTGGGGACGTGCGCGAAGGGGATGGTGATTTTCGTGATTCTTTATTAGTTTCAGGACTCTTTGGTTGGTTAGAACGATTTTTTGAGTGTTTTGAATGAGAATTTCTTGCAGAGTGCTTATTTTTCCTTTCAAGTTGTGAATTATTCTCTATATTAAGTACTAGTGGAGCTTCCTGTAATCCTTTTGAAGGTTCATCTTTTTGGCAAATTTTTAATTTTTGGTCGAGTGATTTTTTCTTTGTTTGATGTTTTTTATGATTTGATTTATGCTTTCTATTGCTTTTTACGCATTCCTTTGGGGATTGGTCTCTTTTGTTATTTACATTTGAATTTTCTGTTGTATCTGTATTAAATTTATTTGTTATTGTTGGAGAACTAGCAGACTTGTTCGATTTAAGATATTGCCATGGTATTTTAAGTGATGGATCTTGAATGGACATAAAATTTGTTTATTGGCAAAGAAAAAAACAAATGTGTGATTATTTCTCTAAGAAAAATGTAAAAATGAATCTGAAATAGATGAAATTCTTGGAAAACAGAGTACAATCACCAGGTTGCCTAATTGTGTCAAATCATCCTCTAAAAGTCTATAAAATTCAAAGCGAATAGTAAGATTTTATGATATTTTTCATTTCTGATAAATGTAAACTCAAAAACTGTTGCTTTGCACTTTTCTCCTCAATTTCATCGTTCTTATGGAATGTCTTAGAGGTCTGAATATAAAGCAATCAAACAAAAGCGTATGGTGAAATTAGTACTTAAATCAGTCAATGTGTTGTTTTGCATGGAGAATGTTGTTGAAGAACTGTTTTTTAATTTTGATATTTTATCATAAAAAGGAATGTGACAATTTGTATTATTAATGAATAATGAACTATCGAAAATTTAAAGTGAATCAAGCGGTAAAACCGAAAATCTCGAAATTTGCACAAAATTATATATTAATAGAAAAATATTGAATACCAATTCGATTTTGGATCAATTACTGTAGAAAAAGCTAATTCAATACAAAAAACATAATTATGTTTGATTTTTAAAATAAAAAATATTTTCCTGACGATAATTATTTGGAGGTCATAAATAATATTTGTTTTTGTTAACCTTTAAATATTCTGAAGGCGTTCAAGCAAGAAGTAAATAAAATAAAATTTTAAATTTCAAATCTTCCATTATGAAAATATAAATGGCAATACTGTTGTAAACAGAAATTCATCAAAAGTGACACCTCAGAAAAGCTAAAATATTGAATTTTTGGAACTTTTGATAGAGCACGTTTTTAAATATTAATTAAAGTAAATGTATATTTTGTAAAGATTCTTTTTAATAAAAAAATAAAATTTTGAAGAAGAACACAAAATCTTCTGAAAAATAATATCACATAAACTCATATTATTTTCTAATATATAACTATTTTATATAAAAATCAAATTCAATGATCTTAAAAGCGAAGGATAAACCTCAAAATTTACGAATATAATGAGTGGGAATATAATGCTTATCTATCATAAAACCATATGAAATATCAATTTTTGCTTTACGCCTAATTTTTGACGACAATTAGCAAAAAATGTTAAATGCTAACACTCAGTCCATTTGAATATGAAAAATAAAATTGATATTTCATATGGTTTTATGATAGATAAGCATTATATTCCCACTCATTATATTCGTAAATTTTGAGGTTTATCCTTCGCTTTTAAGATCATTGAATTTGATTTTTATATAAAACAGTTATATATTAGAAAATAATATGAGTTTATGTGATATTATTTTTCAGAAGATTTCATTCTATATGCCTATGAAAAGTACTCTCAAAACTAACTTTTCCCTAATTATAATTAAATCTAGAATATTGTATTATGCTTAGTATTATTTCATTTTTCTCATTCAATTTAGAATTTACAAATGTCAAAAAATTGAGAGCTGTCACTTTTAATGAATTTCTGTTTATTACAATACTTTACTTTAAGCAGCAAAAAGATCGGAAATGATTTATAAACTTGAAAAATACTTAAATATCGAACCAAAGGAAATCAAAGGATATTTGTCTATATTTTGCTGTGATTATATGACGTACTTCACAATTATGTTGATTACGTTGCATAAGAGAAATGGAAATTGAATCAATAATTGAAAATGAATACTCATTGAAATTGCTGAATAATAGTAGCAAATAAATATCATCAACATGTGATATCTTTTTGTAATATTCTTAAGTCTGTTTTAGTAAGCGTAGGTTGAATTTCGAACATTAATATGATTGATTGAAAAAGTCATGTAAAATATTTTCATTGAGCCGGATTTAGATCAGCTATTACATGAACACAATATTGATATCGGATTTGGTTGTATTGTGTCACTTTTTAAGATATTTTCATTTTCAAGTCGCCTATTCAAAAATTGTAATTATAACCACTTATTTTGAAATTTAATTGGGTTTGTCATGGAGTATCCTTTGTTTTAGTTATTTTTGTTTGTTTTTTGTGACGGCCTAACTAAAAGTGACTTATGTTTGCCAATTACTATGGCAAAATTCAGATTCCCTCCAATATGATACTTCAAAAACTAAATATTTATAATGCATTGCCATTATAGTATGTGTAATTTCGGATTCGAATCATTTAATCAACGAACGTTGAATTTGAAATTGGCAGCATACAACATTTTTTGGAGTTGATTTACAATGTGAGAACAAAATCTTGGTTTTACTGCCAAAAAAATTGAGAGAAAATTGTCGGTGGTTTTAGATAGAATTGAGAGGATCACTTGGTTTAATTACATCAACATCAACCACTAATTTCATATATATAAAACGATTCCATATATAGTCTAAACAAACTCGGTACTCTCTAATCAATTGTTTACGCAATTTATTATCCAATTCCGAATATGCTATTAAACAATGTGTTTTTTAATATAAAGGTACATTCACTATTTTTGACAAAATTTTAAATTTTCATGGGGTTGTAAATCTTATAATAACTAGATGAATAAGGAATGAATCCCAGTATAATGTGCATCATTATATTAAACACTATATGTAAGGCTAATGATTCTATTAACACTTATGAAGATCTATAGTATTTGAGCAGATAAATTTGATAATTTCCAAAACTCTTATATTTCAAAATTAAAGTGTGCGAATGCATTTAGATGAGAGCAAAAAGAGATTGATGCTGTTAAAACTAGGTGTTAATTTGCAATTATTTCGCATCACAAGAACTACCCAGTAAATTCGGCTATCTTTCTTTGCAATTATTCTCCATTATACATATAATATAATGGTTAGGGTTTGAAGAAAAGTTACTAGAGAATTATTGACTTTTGAAATAATGCAGAATTTTACTTGAAGAAATCATTAATTTATGAGTTCCAAATTGCTAAGCATGACGAAGGATCATTAAATTTGCTACAATTAAATACACTTATTGCAGAATTAAGATTTTTGAAATTAAAAGTTTGAAATATTGCCTTTTTGAATAAAAATTTAAATTTTATTATATAATCATGATAATATCTTATCGAAATTAAAAGAAAATATTTAAAACCATTCAAATATTTTGAATGTCTTATCAATTTAAAATATTAAAAGATAGCTTGATTTTATCATCATTAGTTGTTATCAAAGTTTTCTTCTTTTGATGAACAACAGTAAATGATTTGTTAATTACTTGTCTTCCTTTTTCGCAGCAAAATCGAAAGTTATGATGATAATCTTGCTGTCAATTTTGAAACTCTTTGATTTACAAGTAAGCATTCCTTTGGAAAAGCAGTCCTATTCTGTTTTCAAGATATTTTAAAGCCTCCATTTCATACAATGCGCAGATCTATTCGAAATTGCAAGAACTCTCAAGAAAAATGCAGCAGCAAAGAAGATTCAATAGTTTCTGGCATCAAAAATTTACAACCTTAATACAACAGTTAAAGAGAAGCTCGAAAAGAAAATAATTAACCATAAAGCTGGAAACCATTCGATATCTACTATTGGATCTAATAAAAAGTTAATTATAACATATTTTACATGCTATTTGTTGACTTTGTTCCATTATATTACCATATATATCTTTTTGAAATCTAAAATATTTTTACGATTTTAACCATGTGTTGTTGAAACCATATATCAATCTTAGCTAAAGTATAGTTTATGAGTCTGTCACCATCTAACGTATGAATTTTCAAAAATGTCAAATATGTTCATTTTTTCTGTATATTCAGCCATAATTTCACGTAGTTATACTATTCAACTATTATTTAATATTTTTATCGATTTAAATATATGATGAGATGCTTAGTTCTCCCGGAAATCAATTTTTAATCGCAATTTTAACTTTCCAAAAAAATTCAAAAATAAAAATCCCTCTCAATTTTCTAAGTTTTATAACTCGCCAAATCTCTAGCCAAATTTTTTTGGTCCGTATAAATATTGTTAGGCACTATATAGGGATGCTATTTATCCTATTTTCATCCCATTTTACTGTTATCGCCTAGTGAATGTACCTTTTTTAATATTTCCCATTTTGATTTCTAATTTACTTTTCAATGGTCTCTCAAAATTAAATATATAAAATATCGATTTAGATATGTATACTAACCAGCATTTATGATAAACTCTTTCAAAAAAATTGAATTGAGGGTGTTAAATGACCCATTTTGACAACTTCAAGAAAAAAAAATCAATAGTTAAATGTCTGAGAAGAAGTTAAGAAGCAACCACACTCCTAAAGCTAAATGGTCGTACAAGGAAGACCAACGCCTAATCGAAGCTATTAAGAAGTATGGATTTATAAAATGGAATGAAATAGCTAAGATTGTTGGTGGCAGCAGAAACGGAAAACAGTGCAGAGAAAGGTGGAGGTTTGCACTTTCTCCAGACATCAATAACTCGCCATGGAACGCCGAAGAAGATGCTTTATTAATAAAACTTTATGAAAAATATGGAAATAAATGGTCTACAATTGCAAGATTCCTAGATGGAAGATCTGCTATTAAAGTAAAAAATAGACTAAAGACCTTAACAAAGAACCAGAGTATGGATTGTGATTCAAATTCCAATGATGAAAGCCCAAAGACCACTGCATTACAAATTCAAGCTGATCCACTCAAAATATACGACACTGCCTTTGATTTCAATACTTTTGATACTTCTTATGAAGTTTTTCCGGATAATTTGAATATTGAATGAATTACTTTTGTTTTCTCATTTATACGCGTTATTATAAAAAACTCAATATATCATATTAGTTACAAAAAACATAATATTTTTCCCAAAAAAATTACCCTCAATTTTTAACTTTTGCAACTCCAAAAACCAGGTGTTTTTCCAGAACTACCATCTAGGATGAGTCCTAGGAGCTATAATTCTAGGGTTAGATGATACCCACTTAGTACTTTTATTTGTATATGTTTTAGTGGAATTTGGTGAGGGGTCATGAAATTCGTATCTAATTTGCTATCATCTAAGCTGGTAAAAGCTAGATAAAGCTATTTACTGGTTGTATATTACAAATATACCTTGTAATAGAAAATATAAGTGTTTGTGATTTAAATTCGCTCAATTAGCTCGAAAATTTGTTTTATATCCATGACAAACTAACACAATCCTATTTATGTGATTGCCAATCTGTTCCCAAAATATATCAGCATGAATATATATATATTGATATTATTTGCAATTTCATCATTAAATAGTACTTTTTTTCTATTTTTAATTTAGAAATAGTATATTTATATGATAGCGACACAAGATTTTAATTAAAAAATATATGTTATCGATCATCACACTCAAATTGAATTTCAAAAATTTTAGAATTTTTCAATTTCAATATTGAAAATATATTTCTTATATCATAGCGATTCATGTTATAATAATATGGAGAAAAATATTGTTTTAAATCTAAAATTTAAAATGAATGATTGGGCATTACATTAATCCAATTTATTGTTTATTTGTTAATCTAGTGGAAACAATTAATATTTTGGAGAAACAAAAATTTGAAATTTGAAATTTTGAAAAAAATGCATGAATCGGTAATTAAACATTGATTTATTAATTTATTAGCCATGCTTTTGATGTTGGTCTTATTCTTAAGCCGATTTAAAGAATTAATTTTTCCAAATCGTGTTTAACATTAACACATATAGATATATCAGGAAAAAAGGTATCACTTATCAAGTTATTGGTTTTTATGTATCTCCTAACTTTGCCTCGTTCTGAATACAATTCTAGTTAACGAATTTTAAATAACTATATGAAGAATACATCATTTTGGTTTTATTATTATTAAAATGATATATATTAGCTATGTATATGCTTGTAAGAATATTATTCCGTGAATTGGAAACAGAAAAAATAAATTTAGACAGAAAATGCATATCTTGAAAAAATAATATGAAATTTAGCTTTGATATTATTATCCGATAAAATATGCATGATAATTACTCCGCAAATAAAATTTAGGAAGCAAGTTGTGACGGTTTGGGCGGTTTTCAATGGCCCACAAGGAAGGAAGTATCGTTTTATCAGGCAACAAGAGGTCTTGAAATGAGTAAAGGACTGATCACCCTTAAAAGGTTCAAACTTGCTTGCGCGCCGCAGTCTTAAAAATGATATGTTTCACTTCTGGTCGAAAATTTCAACCTCTATGACAGTTGTTGGATGAACAATTGTGTAGCGGGATGAAATCTGAGTGCGGCCTGGGGCTGCAGCATCAATCTTCCCGGCATCTTTACCGCAATCATCTCTTTGATTGCACACAAAGTTGCGAACGAGCAGTTTTCTATGCGGTAAAGATGCTGGAAAGAGAGAGTCGATGTGAGGTTCTTTTCGAGGGCTCCTCGAATGAGACACTGTTCCGCATTGATAACTTGAACGCGGAAGTTTGACCGACAAGAGTGTATTGTGCACTCCTGTCGGTCGCAGTGTCTCATTCTGGGAGACATTGCCTCTGCATGTCTCCCAGAATGGAACAATGTTCCGCATTCATAACTTGAACGCGGAAGTTTGACCGACAAGAGTACATTATCCAATCTTTTTTGTCATATACCTCAACCCACAAAGACAAAACCTTACATAAAATAGGTAAACTTTGGTTTTCACTTAATAATGTTTATTTTTAATTTTTTGTTCTTTATATAACTTTTTCTTCTACTAAACTATTTTACAGACTCTACTGAGCTATCCTCACATATATACCTGTGACAATAACACATATATACTCCCTTCATATTCTGATCTCATGACATATTACAGCACAAACTATAATTATACAACATACCTCATAAAGTCTGATTTTACCCCTATCTAAGCGTTCAAAACTTATTTTCCTTAAAATTTCTCTTCAAGTTCATACTGAAACAACATCTTTTTTTGAAAATACAATTTTTTCAAAAAATGTATGAATTCAAAAGTGCATACTATATCTAGTCATTACCAAAAAAAAAAAAGGCATTGGGGCTTCCAGGGGCTGCGCCCCTTCTAGCCCCGAAGATGTTTAGTATAAAATGAAGTTTTTATTCGGAAAATTGTTAGTCTTCTGGTGTGAATTCGGAGGACTCTTCTTGGATAGAGTCTTGTATTTCCTCCTCTTCTTCTTCCTCCATTGCTTCTGGGAAGAAGCCTTCTTCTGGGTCGAAAACATTATATAATGTGTAATTGAATGACACATTATATCTTTCTTTGAGTTCGCTCCTGACAAAGAACTTAGTTCCAGGAATACAGAAGACTTCTGTGCGTTGGAAAAGCTGATGTCCTGGAACAAATTTGGCAATTAGAGACTTCTTTTTTCCGAATTGTTCAGGAGTTTCCATGACGACAGTAACAACATCTCCATCTGCGAGGTCTTGTTGTTGTTCGGAAAGGTAAAGAGCAATGATATGAATGGTTGCTGCGTTGAATTCGAGAAAGTCGAATTCAAATTGTGTTGTCGTATAGCATTCAAACCATTTTGTACAGTTGTCTCCGAACTCGTCAATGTATTCATCTTGGTCATATCCGTAACTAAAGACTTGGAATTCGGCAATTCTCTTGTCGAATGACCGTTGCATGTAACGAGGAAGATTTTGACGAACTTGGTATAAAGTTCTCAACATTATAAGCTTGGTAAATGTTGGAAAATACTGAACTAAGACATCGCTAAGCTCAATTGGACTTGGAATTGTCTTAGTAAGTTCAATTGAACTAGCAATTGCTTTGTTCAGAACTTCACAGAACTGAGTATTGTATATAGCGTCTTTGTGTGTTTTCTTCGGCGTCTTTGAGATATTTAGAGCAAATTTGTTGAAGAATTTCTCTTAATTCGCTGTTAGACTTTTGGTGGTTATTCTAACAGCTGTGCCAGTTCTTGGAGGTTGTGGGCTTTGGCTTTGGTTAGCGGTTGAGAATTGTTAATGTTGGCTTCCATTAGACAAAAATGAACTGTTTTTTTTCGGACTACTCATAGAAAAGTTTGAGATAAACCGTTTTCGTCAACGGTAACCCCTCTATTTTTTTATTTTATTGAAAAGTCTCCGTTGGCAAACCGTTCCATCTCAAATATTGAATGAACTATAAACGTTTTTTGTTTTCTATACATACTTTTTTGTCCAACGGTAAAACTTTTTACACAACGGTTTTTGAGAGTCGTCGCTGTTGACTTTTTTGTAGAGCACTCAAAATAGTATAACTTTGTCCGGACAAGTAAGGGTCTATCGTCGCTACAGGAAAAGTTACAGGCGTTCCAAGGAAGTATACTTTGAGAAGCCTTTTCCCCTTATAGAATGAGATAGGACGGTTATTTTACAAAACTGACAACACTTTGACCGAGTAGTTTTTTGTGCTGAACAAAAAGTGTCATATAAACATCTGTCAAAAGCCGCTTTTTAACTTCACTTAAAATGCCACGTAAGCTACGTAAGAATATACGTAAGAGGAAGAGAGCATTGAAACATCCAATAGTAAAACTAACACCACAACAACAGTTGCAACAACAAATGCTGAATGACCCCACTATGTTGCACACAAATGTCAAGCAATCCTATGCTTTTAAACCGAGTTGTTGGTGCACAGAGTGGAGGTTTAAGAGCGGCACTTTTAGCGAAAATGGCAGGCTATGGTGGAGCTGCAGACGGAACAGCCTATAACCCTCAAAGTCAAATGAATTTGAGTTCACTCAAAAATCAAATAACAGATGTCAAAAAGTCAAACATAGACATACAGAAGCAAATAAGTGAAAACGAAAAGAAACTAGAATATGACAGACACACAAAGAAACTCAATGAGTTAAACGTAGAGAAAAAGAAGAAAGAAGAACAACTGAAAGAACTAAGTACAGAGGAATATGCGAAAAAAGTGTCAGAAAAAGCAGCAGAAGTAGCAAAAATGGAACAAGATGTCATAAATTTGAAAAACCATACTACTCGATATAAAGTACTGAAAGATGAAGAGATAAAACAAAAAGCCCTGAAGACATATATGGATAGCGATGAGTATAAAAAAGAAGTTGAAGCAAATGTAAAGGCAGAAAAACTTTTACAGTTGCAAAACCAAACCGTACAGTATGAAAACTTAGCACAAGAAAGTAAAAATAACGACGCAGCCATGCAAAAGGCAATGAAAAGCGCAGAATATATAAAAGCTAACAATGACTGGTTAGATGCCCAAGCCAACGCCAAAGCAGCCCAACTCATAGGGTCAATAAGGACAAAAATACAAGCGGATGAAGACAGTTCAAATGAAGCTTTAACAAATGCTGACTTTAAGAACGCCTTCGAAGCTCTTCATAGTAAGGTGAAACAAGTGAACGACTTCTCATCTGGAAAGAAACTGAAGTCTGAAGGTTTCGACAAAGAGTTAAAAGAAGTAGCACAAAATATGACGAAAATAACAGATGCAGCAACGAGACAGGCAGTTCAAAGTGCCTATGACGCCGTTAGAGCAACTGTTGTGAAAAGTCAAGAAAAAGAGTTACAACAGACCAAAACAGACCTAGTAAATGCTTTCTTAAAAACGAAAAGTCAGGTAGGACATTACGCTGCAGATGGAACATATGTGCCAGCTGGTGGAACTTATATACCACCAAACCCTCCAAGAGAAGCACCTGCACCAGGACTACCTAAAACATTTACATCGTCACATGGACACAGGCATGCACCAAAACCAACACAACAACCAGCACAACAACCACCTCCACAACCAGCACAACAACCACCTCCACAACCAACAGTTCAAAACCCTGCACAACAACAACAACCACAAACAGAGCAAGGACATAAAAGAAGTAGAGAACAAGGAAACCAAGAATTCTTAAAAAGGCTTAAGGAAGACTATGGTTACCCAGATAGTATTGACTTTAGTGACAGATATAAAGAAGCTATTAGAAAGTTCAAGGATGGAAATACTGACCCGAACCTATTTAGCTTTATGGCTCAGCACCAAAACGGATATAATCTCAAACCTGGAAAATACAAGCTCGCTAAGGGATATGATTTAATAGCATATCATCCAAATGACATGGATGAATTTACTCCGAGATATTTGATGTCAGAGCTAAATGACAATTCAACTCCCGTCATGAAACGCGTAAAAAATAGAGACGGAACGAAAGAAGAAAGGTTTATGAGTCCGGATGACTTAGATAGGGAAGTTGTTAAAAACGGTCTCGGAATATATGAAATGCCAGCAGATGAGGTACAAGAAACTCCACAGGAAGAACTAGTTCAGATACAACCAGACATGGAAGAAATAGTTCAGCAACAACAGCTAGAAGAGCCTGAAGGAAACGAACAAGTCACTCCTTTGAAACTAACCATCACAGAACTAGATGAAGATTTGGAACAGCCGAAAAATCTTGACCCTCAACAAGAGTATGCGGAGAATATGGAATATTTCCAAGAGTCTAAAAAAAATTCGGCTGACATAGTAGAAGAATATCGAAAAATGTTTGCCGACATACAAAAGACTCCAACACCAGATGAAAATATTCAGCATAGAATGGAAGTACTGAAAGAAAATGTACACAAATACAACAACCCTTTTTACTTACGAGCATTTAACGTTCAATCTTCGGATGAACTCGGTGAAAATAAAAGGTTAAATTTCAAGAAAACATATAGAAATGAAACATTGTTTAAAGTTCATTCAGAACCTAACCAAGATGGAAACAAACCTACTTTTGTTTCTGCAGACGATGGAACTACAATGAGATGGGGTCATAAAGCTAACCGGATAGGTGGTTCATAAACTTACAACCTCAATTCCAAGAAGTTGTAGACGCAATGGAAGTCAATGGTGAACCAGATATAGCTGGTATTTTAAGCGCGGCTTTAATGCCATTGAAAGATATGAAACATGCAGATATTTTGGACCAGTATGAAATGAACATGGCTGATGGAAATATAACACCTGACGTTCTAGAACATTTATCTCAAAGAACTACACAGAACCATAGAGATGGTATATTTGGTGAAGAGTTTAGAAAGAAAGTTAGGGAGGGAGAAGGAAGAGAACCTATTGTACATGACCTTGCAAACGAAAGTTTACAAAATGTCATAAAAACTTACTTTGCAGACGATGAACTGAGAAGGGATGAATATTTAAGAAAACTCAAATGGACAGTACCAAATGAAATGTTAGTATTGAAAAACATGTTCCTTGACAAAATAAAACCAACTACAGAAATAAACGACGCAAGACTGAAAGATTGGGTAAAAGCTTTCCCATTCACAAAAGATATTATTGGTAACATGGAAAGAAAACCAGAATGGCTACAAAAACATATATTTGGAAACGAGCATATTCCATATGGACAGGCACTGTTTGAAGAGCTTGAACCGGAAACTCAGGACAGAGTCATGCAAACAATAAGCGACGACTCAAATACAAACTATGACAAACTCTTTCTAGGATATAGGTTACCTGAGATGGGCGACCAGAGCCAAAAGGCAAAAAGGGCATGGAAAATTTGCAACATACTAGATGAACATGAGGCAAAGATGCAACAACTTGAAGCAGAGGGCAAGTTACCAAAGCGACACCAAAGAAGAAGAGTAGAACAAAGTGAAAGTAGTGAAGAAGTAACTTCATCTAGTGAAAGTAGTGGCAATGAAGGAAAAAGAAGAGTTAAAAACTCAGTCAGGAAGAAAGTAAAGCTTGGTCCACGTGGGTTCTATTATGACACATAAACCCAACTATTCTATATTTTTACCCATATGAAATGTACGCCGCTCAGAATATAACGCCAACAGTTTTGGATGCCATGAACGGAAATGTTTCCGAATGGTATAACGAATGCGACAATGCCATTAGAAGGTCAGAAATAGTTCCTGGAACTTACGAATATACAACTGCTGTTTCTTATGGAAACGTAGGTGAGTTTGGAGAAGGTTCTTCAACAACAGTAGATATTGCTTGCGACAGGTTTCATATAATTTCTATTGACAACTCTTTCTTATACGTGGAACAAGACATTGAAATAAAACCTTCTGCCAAGTTGTCTGACAAGAAAGGTTGCAATGGAATTTTCTATGTCGGATACCAATATGCTCCAGAAGTTTTCATGGGATATAAGATATATTCTAACTCTGACTTAGTTCAAACAGTAACATGGGCAAACTATGAATGGTTCGCTTTGAGAAACTCAGTACAACCACAAGCTAGAGAACAAACAGACCAGTATGCAACTATTGAGAAAATAAGAAGACTTGACCCTAACGTTCCAGGAGTTTATGTTAACCTTTCTGGTTCAGATGGAAATGCAGTAACCAAAGTAAAATTGAAACTTAGAGTTCCTTTGTCATCTTTCCTCATCTTCAGGTTTTTAAGATACTTGCCAAACTGGGCAGGAAAAATTTCTATCGAACTTACTCCAAGCAAAAATAACTTAGTCATTGCACCAACACAAGACCCATTCACTCTTACTGTAGCTGGAACTGGTGGAGCCAAGTTCTGTGACTTTTGCAAAGACAAAGTTGACTTAGACTTTGGTTTCTCAAACCTCAACACTGAAGTAAACTATTATTTCAATGCTGCTGGAACTGCTTGGGACCCAGTTAAGTTCACATGCGAAAAATTTGAATGCAAGAGAATAGAAAGCAGACTTGCAGTCTATATGTTGGACCCAGATATTTCAAATGCTTTAGCTGCCAAATATATTGCAGTTCCACTTATGTTCCCTATACACCAAATATCTGTCAAAGACTTTGCAGGTGAAGTTGGAAACCAAAGTGCTGACCCAGGTGCAAGAACAGATATTGCCTTAACAACTGCAATGAAACATGCAGATACTATGTTTGTACTGTTCAGACGAACTATAAATGACTATTCTTGTTTCTACAACCCCGGTATTAAATATCATATAAACATAGATGGCAAATACTATCCAAGAGAAGAATATTCTACAGTTGAGGATATGAGGTCATACAACTTGACATTAGATGCTATGAACTTTAACAACAACTTCACAACAACCATTAACCCTGAAATGCAAAGTTCTATTATGCCATATGTGAAAGTATGGACCCATACAGGAGCTCAAAACACTCAATATACAAATGGAGACCGTTCAAACTTTTGGCTTGGCATTCCATTTGCTGACTCAGAAGACTTTATGGGTGGTATTTCAACTGTTGGTACAGTTCAAATACAATATACTGGTGACAGAGACGGTCCAGATGAATTGAAAGCAAAGAAGTTTACAAAACCAATAGCACTTTTCACGGAAGATGCTCTTTTGAAGATTCGTTCGATGAAACCTGCTGGGCTCCTCAGATTGGTATAACGACAGCTTCCATCGAGCAGATTTTGGCAGCAGGTCAGTAAGTTGTTCTTGAACTGACTTCTCTCCGTCAAATATTGACAGTACGCCAGTTTTGATATAATATTGTATTATAAACTTACCTTTAGAAATATCGGTCAGTTTTGTTGTTATATTTTTGTCTGCTTCAAGAACTTTCACCATCTCGGTTATACCAACTTTCTTTGCTTTATGAAAATATTTTGGTTCAGCAAAGACTGCTATTCTATAACATTTTCCATTGTTTGTGTAAAGAACTACTCTGTCAATGAACTTGTATTGTTTGTGTGTGTAAACTTTGTTTTGCTTCAATTCGAAGAGATACTCAAATACGTCCATCTTTTTATTCTAAGTAAAATGTCATTTCCGAAAAATAGAAGCGTAAGTGTTTCAAAAGGTTTAATGGCGGTGGCAGATGTGAAGTTAAATTCACCAACTCAAACAAACAGTCAAAGTGTTGTTGTCAATGTCAAAAAAGAGATGTTGAAGTGGGGAAACCATACGAAGACGAAGATGGTATAACAATAGTTCCTGTAAAAAGAACCAACATACCCTGAAGTTAGCAGAGACTTAAGTTCTGTTGCAGATATTCGAAACGACTACCAACAACTTAAAGACAAACTTAAAACTCAGGAGAAGATTTGTCAGCTTTGGGTATAATGTTAAACTTGGTCGAACACAACCCTGTAAAAGTGAACTCATATGTCATCGCACCTCATGAAATTTTGAAAGAACTATTGAAACTTTTGACAGAGGCAGATGATATAAACATCAAAGAAATAGAACCCGACATTGCTTGCTGTGGTGTTTCATATAATGTCATTGACAAGATATACGTTATGAAAGGAGGTGAAACGTTGAACTTAAAATATAGTTTCCCAGACGTCATAAAAATATTTGACGACCACAACATTTCATTAAAGTTTGTTTGCTAAGTAAATGGCAGAAGACATAGTGGTTTATACTATTACGACTAAAAACCCTGAGTCATATAATTCTATAACAACAAACTTACAAAGTCCTCAAGGACGATATTGTAAACTGACCTTAAACACGATGACGACTAAAGCCTGTTTTGCTCTTTTGACACCAGAAGATTTTATTGTTGTGAATGGTAAAAAATACTTCTTTGAAGATACTTACTCAGATATACCACCAACAGGTTTTGTTGACTTATTTAATACTTTAAGGACGGATGTAACATGTGCTGCAACTAGAGCAGGTTTCATTATGTTTGGATGTCCGACTGAGTTTAGTATAAACGATATGAGCTATAATACAAAACTTATATCTGGTTTTTACTACCAACAGTTTCCTATAACAGGAAAAGGTGTCATACAAGGAATGTCTATTCCATTGACTTTAAGTACACCTATTTTATATATTGTTTCAAACTTAGGTTCAAAGTGCTATTCGAATGTCGACAGAAACTACTATGACCAAAAGATACTCATGCGTATAAACAACACTTTCTCTGCTGGTTTGCCTATTGTTCATTCGAATGCAGAGTTTTCAGCTTTAGTAAACTCAAACACTTTAGCAAACATAAACTTAACCTTAGTTGACGCAAACTTTGTTCCTGTAAAACTTTTATGTCCTATGTATTTGTCAATGACGGCAGAAAGTTTCGAATTGGAAGATGCAACTGGTGAAAGTATTGTACTACAAGAACAACTTCAACAACAAATAGCTCAAGAACAACAAATGCAACAAATGGAACAAATGCAACAACAAAGTCAAGAACAACAAATAGCTCAAGAATAAAAAAAATTTTTTTTTATTTTTATAAAAAAATGTACAGAATAGACGTTTCAGATTTTTATGACTTCCAAGCGTTCAGAAATATGTGTCCATTTCGAGACTATAACAAAGCAGTCGAGAATTTGAAACGTTTAGTCATTTATGTCGACTCTGCCCCAGAATGTTATGTCATGAAAGAATGGGATGTAGTCTTTAACAAACCTAAAGCGACAATAGTTTCAGAACAAGAATGTAAACAGAAACTTAAGAAAATAAAAGTCGTACAAGTTGGTATGAAGATGTTAGATGCTTGGGATATCTTATTGTCAAAGTTAGAAGATTTTTCAGTTCGTGGTATAAAGTTCTATACACCTTCTCCAAACTTCTATTCTATCTTCACTGGATATAAATACGAACAAGTAGAATGGAAAGAAAATGTTATAGAAGCTTGGTTAGACCATGTCAAAGAAATTATATGCAATGGAAACGAAAGAGTCTATGAGTATATCTTATGTTGGTTTGCAAACATCTTACAACATCCAAGTGCTAAAAATGAAACTGCTCTCATTGTAATTGGAAAACAAGGAACAGGTAAGAACACTTTCTTTACAGATATCTTATGCAAACTGTTAGAGGGCTATTCGAACCCTAATATGACAAACTTAGAAAACATCTGCGGTAAATTTAACTCTTCAATAGAGAATATGAAACTTATAGTATGTAACGAACTTCAAAGTATAGATACAACAAAGGTTTTGAACTCGGATGCTTTGAAGAGTCTTATAACAGACAAAGTTGGAGTTGTTGAAAGAAAGTATAGAGACCAAAGAGTTTGTGAAAATGTTGCAAACTTCGTCATGGTTTCAAACAACGCTGTTCCGATGAAGTTAGAAAGTTCTGACAGAAGATATGTAGTTGTCAGAACGTCAGAAGCTCATATGCAAGATACAGAATATTTTGACGACTTAGCAGAAACTTTGACATCTGACTTTTACAACCACTTGTTCTCATATTTCATGACATTAGATATTTCAAAGTTCAATCCAAGACAAATTCCACATACCGAAGAGAGACAAACATTGTTAGAAGCAAACAAGAGTGTATATGAACTGTTTATAGATGAGACTAACTTTGAGTGTTTAGATGAAAGGTCATTGTACGATTCGTATAAACAGTATTGTCAAGATATGGTTATATGACAGCGTCTAAACGAACATTCTTGGCAAATGTCAAAAGTCTTTTAGATGTTCAGAATGGTGTATATACAAAGAAAAATTTTTCTGAGTAAATTTAAAAAAAAATATTTTTTTATCCGATAGAAAAGATGACGAAATTCATCTCAGTCAACAAGTACATGTCAGGACTTAAAGAAGAACTAGACCCATTCACATATTTGAATGTTTACTTCTACCATTTTGAAAAGTCTACATTTGACAAAGTTTGGAACATCGAACCAGTTAAGTTTGCTATTGTGACTAAAAATGGTGCGAAATTTGAAGACTTAGACATAGAAGGTTTGTTAACAGTCAAAGAAAGTTTTGACAGAAGGTTCTCAAACCTTAAAGAAGGCAAAGCATACAAACTTGTTATACCTTATGAACCAAAGAAAGCAGACGACTATGAATATTATGAGTCTAAGATAGTTGAAGTTCAAGGTAAATTGGGTAAAAAGATTTTAGAGTCTAAGCCAGTGTTTGCTCCTAAAGAGGAAGAGAACATTGACATTGACCCAGAAATGTTCTAAAAATAAAATTTTATTTTTACATGTCAAATTTCTTTCTCTGGCTCTGGTTCTTTCTTCTCTTCTTCTACTTTCTTTTCTTTCTTTTCTCTCTTCTTCTTCTCTGGTGGAGTTATGTCAAACTTCTCAGAACCATATTTTTGTAAAAGTTCTTTGTCCTTTAATAGCTCATCTATTCTGTTTTCTATTTCATCTTCAAGAACAGCGCATGTGTCTTCTTTGCATTCTAAGAAGTTTTGTTGGACTTCATCTCTCCAAGAGGCGTCATCTCTGTCAACAAGTCTGTCATTGACAAATTTTAAGACTTCTCTGCTTAAGGTTTTATGGTTCTTGTCATATTCCCAGAAACAGAACTTTAGAACAAATTCACCTTTCTTGTTTACACTATGTAAGATTTTATGGTCGACAGATGTTTTGCTGTCGAAAAGCTTGTCTCGAATAATATGGCGAAATCGCTAGACATTTTCTAAAAGATAAAAATTTTAATTTTTCTAAAAATATGTTAGAAAAAAAGTTTGCTGACATTGACAAGAAATTTGAGAATGTTTTAAACAAGAACAAGAGGAAGTTGGAAAATGCTCAGATAAAACCCATACATGACAAGTTCTTATTTGCTCAGAATGGTATAACAGGTCTAATTGCACCACCTGGGTCGGGTAAGACTTTCACTTATCTTAAAATGGCTGCACAACAACAAGAACTAGATGAGAAGAACCCATTCTATGAGTTAGTTGTCATTTGTAGTACTTCGGGTCAATTTGACCAAACCGTAAATTCGTTCAAAGATATTATAAAGAAGTCTAAGTTAGTATGTATAAAAGACTCTGAGTTGTTAGATTGGATAAAGAAGTACCAAAGAAGAGTTTTGAAGTACAATGCTATAAATGAGTATATAAACTCGAAGTTTAAAGACCCAAATGAGGAAATGCAGAGAATATTAGAGAAGAAACACTTCAGAAACAAACAGAAAGAGATAGAATACATTTCGAAGAAATTGCAATCTTACGATTGGAAGACTTACCCTCACAGATGTCTTCTTATCTTAGATGACTTTGCTTCTCATCCTTTGTTAAAGAACAGAGAACAAGACATGTGTCGAATTCTTAAGAAGCTCAGACACTTTAACATTTCAGTTGTCATTTGTGTCCAGACAGCAAAGAGTTTAAGTAAGGATGTAAAGAGAATACTTACTGACATTGTACTTTTCCCCGGATTGTCCGAAGACGATTTCATGGAACTTATGAAAGAGTCCATGGCAGGTAAGTTTGACAGACATGAACTATGGGAGAAGTACAAAGTCATACAAGACCCTCATACTTCTTTCAGAATTCACATCTACGCAAACAAAGTTCAAATTGTAAAAAGTCAAGCTTGAAAAATAAATGGTTCATTTACTCTTCCTCTTTGAAGTTGTCAAAATACTCTGTTATTTTTTCTTTCAGTAGCGGCAAATCTTCTTTGAATGTAAGTATTGTACAACCTTTCATATCATAGTGTGTTTGAGGTAAAGTATCTTGAACTATCTGTTTAACATCTTCATTTGGTGTCATTGAAATCGGTAAGTTTTCGCGATAGAACCAATTTCTGTCAGATTTGTAAATCTTAGCAAGGTCGTAAAAGCTTTTGTTGTTTCTTCTGACTAAATGCAACATAACCATATCTCTGTCTTCTTCATTTTCCATCTCTTCAGTGTAAATCATATACTTATAGTTCTTTTCCTTTCCTTTTGGTACCGAACGTGGTATTCTTTTCTGTATGTTTTTGTCTTTTGCTTCAAGCTTGTTCTCTAGCTCTTCACGTTCTTGTCTATGAAGTTCATCTAACATCATGAAAATATAACAAGCATAGCGAGGTGAAGCCCACATTGCAACAGCATTTACAAGAAGTCTATGTACATAATATCCTTTCAAACCATTTGGCAAATTTTTACGATTTTCGTACGGAATCTCGTTCCTCGGTTTTCCGAGGGACGCAAACATATGAGGAAATTCTTCTAAAAGTTCTTTTGTCTGTTGGTTTTCAAACCAATGGTATGCTTGCTTTGTAGAACGAAGAGCATTCAAAATACTTTGCATTTGGTACATGTCATCTTTGACCGAACGAATGAGACGTAACTGTTTGTTATACTGAACCCACTCGTATTCTTCATCTATGGCTTCATGAACGATAGCAGTTGTTGTGTTCTCTGTTGTTGTCATATCTGTCTTTACATACAAAATAAAAAATAAAATAAAAATAAAATTAGCGTTATTTTCTATCTTGTATAAAAGACCAAAAATAAACGCTTTACATGTATTTTTCAGCAACTTCGTCAAATAATTTTATAGCTTTGTCGATCTCATCTACTTCAAACGTTTCTTTACCTTTCGTGGGAGCACCATACATTTTCTCAAACTTTTCAAGTAGTTCTGTTTCAGCAGCTCTCATATCGTTAACAAACGCAACCTTAACTCTATTGACTATACTGTCATATCTTTGAGTTATATTAAATGTTCTTCCTATCTTATATCTCTTTGTATTGAAGTCCTTCGGTTTCTGAACGATGTAAAGTAAGCCTTCACAGCAACGTTCCGTATCGAATGAACCATATGTTATGAAATTATATCCAACAACTGGGTCAATCCAGAACAAAACTACTGGTATAAGACTTTTGTCTATAAGATATGCTCTTGTTCCATAGAATCTTACCGATATCATAAGCTCAGGATTTCTTGTCAAAATTTTCTGAGTAGAAGCATTTCTAACCCAGTCGTGGGATGTTTTCTTTTCAGATAGTGTTAAAATGTCTGACAAAGAATATTTGTTGTATTTCTTTGAGTATCTTACGTTTAAATCACCAATTCTAACCATTTTGGTGTCATTGTCTATCTTTTTAACTGTTTCAAACTCAGTGTTTAACATTGTCTGTCTTTACATACAAAATAAAAAAAATATTTTAAAAAAACTAACGCTATTTTTTTATCTTGTATAAAAGATATGATTTCAGGGATTTTTTTTACGAAGTGCAAAAGTTCTCTTCGTCAAAAAAATACAGTTATATCATGATTTTTGGTCATTTTTTTACGATTTTCATGAGTTTTAGGCGACCCCGGGAAAAGTCGGGGTCGCAATTTTTTACGATTTCAGGGATTTTTTTACGAAGAGTAAAAGTTCACTTCGTCAAAAATAACAGTTATATAATGAAATTTGGTCATTTTTTTCATGTCAGAAGACTCGAAGGTGCAACACTTCCAAAATACCGACGAACTCAGAAGAGCAGCATGGCAGTATGTTCTTGACAACTTCTTTGAGTTCTCCAGGTACACCTTGGAAAATGCTGAAGAACTCCGACACAGAGAATTTGGAGAAATTGCGCTCCAATACTACATTGACAAACAAAGGGTAAAATAAGACTAAAAACTTAACGTTTAAAAAGTGACATTTTTAATGAGCTCCGAGTCACCGAGAAAACTTGGTCAGATGTTAGCAGCTTACTTCCCCGAGGAGGATGGAAGCGTTACATACATCAGGTTCAAAAACAACGAACCTGGAATTGCGTACAAAATTCGCAATTACATGACCGTGGAAGAGTACGAAAGGTTCCTACAAGAGAAACCAGCTCTAAACAACTCAGAAAAGAAAGAATAAAAAGTTTAACTCGTAATTGTTTATTTTTTTACTTGTATGGGCAAGCTGCAAGAATGAAGTCGACTATCTCAGTCTTTGTCTTGACGAGCTGGACGGCTCTTGCGAGTACGTCTGTTTTGCGGTCTCCAGCTGGTGTCTGACCTTCGTAATTGCGCATGTTCTTGAGAGCTCCAACTGTAAATGGTTGTAGGATGAAGAGTCTCTCAGACTGCTTGAGGTAGTCTTCACGGTCACGAACCGAATCTGTGGTACGAGTCGAATTGGTCGACTTTAGGGAAGAGACTGAAAGCCTGTCATCTTCCATAGGGGCTGTGGCATACTCTTTGCGTAAACGGTTCAGACCTTCCTCGAACTCTTGGTCTCTCTTGGATTGAGATTGGAATTGGAATTGGGGTGGAGGGTTTGACATGAACATCCAAGGGTTAGGGCAGTAAGGCATAGGCTGAGGAGGGTAGTTCGGGAAGCCTTGTGGTGGGTAGTAACATTGAGGTGGAAATTGGTAGTAATTTGGTGGAGGTACTTGCTGGAACTGAGGTTGCTGAGGTGCAGGGGCTGGTGCTTTAGGTTCCTCTGGTTTGGGAATGGACTCGGTTAGTGGGACGTCGGACATTGTCTTGAAACAATAAAAAACTTGTCTTGAAAAAGTAAAAGACTTGTCTTGAAACAATAAAAGACTTGTCTTGAAAAAGTAAAAGACTTGTCTTGAAAAAGTAAAAGACTTGTCTTGAAAAAGTAAAAGACTTGTCTTGAAAAAGTACGGGTATCGTCTTCAATCAAGACCACTGTTCTCAAATTTGAGAACTTTACACCAAAAAATTTCTTGAAAAATAACGGGTCTTGTCTTGAAAAAGTAAAAGACTTGTCTTGAAAAAGTAAAAGACTTGTCTTGAAAAAGTAAAAGACTTGTCTTGAAAAAGTAAAAGACTTGTCTTGAAACAATAAAAGACTTGTCTTGAAAAAGTAAAAGACTTGTCTTGAAACAATGACCGACATAGACCCAGCAGATGAGGCAATCTACCTTATAGAGATAAATGAGCTAGTTAGGAACTACCTGAGCCATCTGAAGTCAAACAAGACCATTGCAGGCTGGGTGTCTGGAAGAAGTGCGCTTAAAATTGAAATTGACACCGGAATTGTCCTGCAAATACCAGAAAACACTCCTGTAGACGACATAAAAGAGATGAAGAAAGAAACCCTCTTGAAGTTCTTTGCAAAGCGTCCGTGGATACAACTTCCAAACAGAGAGAACCCAACTGTACGAATTGCCCAAATTCTCAGAGGACTCCTTCACTTCTCGGGTCAGGCGTTCTTCATAAACACAGAAGGCGACATCGTACCTTTACAGTAAACATCTATATGACACGCTTTGAGTAAAAACATTTTTTTCATTTTTGAATGAAGCAAGTTAAATTCGTCCCACACCAAACTCAATGGACCGATGAAGAGTTTCAAGCTATGGTTGAAGGTGTTGAGAACGACATAGACGGCGAACTTGAAGGAGCTCAAATCACAATTGCAACCAAAATTGCAGAAGTCAAGGAACAGATAGCTCCACTTAAAGCTACCAAAGCTACTCTTGACCTCATGGATAGTTACCGTTTAGATGTCAAGAGTGGAATAAGACAATTAAAATTAAAACTTCTAAACTACGAAGCTATACTCCAAAAGTTAGCAGAAATGAGAAGACTTTACCAGAGCTACTTACATGTAAGGGACTTACCTTCAAGCAATCCGACCAAAGATGAATTTGTTGACATTGTCCCAATTTTGTCCGAAAGTCAGCTCAGATGTTTTGAACTGCTCCCAACATATCCAGAATATGAACGTTTGCCTGAACTCTTCCGCAATCTCAAAAAACGTTTTTTGGTTCTCATGTTCGAAACTTTTATCGGAAGAGACAACAAACGTTCAGAAGAAGAACAAGATATTATTTTAAACTTGTTGTATGACTTAACCGTCATAACAAGCTTTTTGAAGTAAAACCGTCATTCTCAAACCACTTCATTTTTTCGATGTCCGAACAAGCACCGAAGCCAAACTCAATGGCAGATGTCCTTTCAAGGTTGCCAGACAAGCGCCCAGTTCAACTTCAAATTGTCCAATTGAACGCTCATCTGACAAACACCATTAAGACTATCCAAAGTAGTCTTATGACAGAGATGAAGGAACTTAAAGGTGAGTTCCTCATGAACCAAGCTTCCAATGAGAAATGCCTGAACGATTTCGCGGAAACCTTGCGCAATTACGAGAGAGAGAACCGAGACCTTGCCAGACTCATCTACCGTTTCTTCGAAGAGATAGACGCCATCTGGAAGGTACTCGGAAAGGACAGAACATGCAACACCGTACTTCGTGAGTACCAAATTGAAGAAGGAATTTTCGAGGAAGAAGAGAAACACGAAGAAGAAGAGGAAGAAGAAGAGAAACACGAAGAAAAGGAAGTTTGGGCAACCCTTGTTGCCGATGACAGTTATGAAATTTCCCAACCCTACCCATACAAAATCCGCAACAAGGAGACCGGCAAGGTTCTTACCCCAGTCCTCAACAACTTGGGACACTTGAGCCTTACCCTTCGGAATTACGGTACAATTTCCATGGGAAGGCTTGTCGGTATGCAATGGGTTCCAAATCCAAACAAGAAGACGAAGGTCAGACACATTGACGGTGACAAGCTCAACAACCGTAAGGAGAACCTCGAGTGGTTCTAAGAGTAAAAAAATTTTATTTTAGGGGGAAACCCCGAGTAAATTTAAGTTTTTAGTTGCATAAGTAGCTTAAATTAATGGTCATTTGCAAAATTAGTTCCCGACCTTTGAATTGGACTCTTTCGTTATCCCAGTTGCGTAGGAGGTCGTCCCAGAGGAGTTGGTAGAATTGCCAATCCAAGGACGATTTGTCCTCCCAGGCATTGAGGATGTACTGCTCGTAGAGTTTCATGACCTCTGCCTTGCACCAGACACCCTCTCCCTTGGAACATAAGGCTTCTTCGAAGTGCTCGAATGCGATTGGCTGCTTGACCATCCGAAATGACACTTTTTGTCCGTTTGGTCAATGTTCGTGTCTCGTGCCATAGTCGACGAAAATACAGACAAACAGGTTATATATGAGTTTGAGACCAAGAATGGTGTAACTCGACCTGTCCGATTCAAAGACTCCGAGGGCGACCATGAAATTAAACGGAAATTAGCTAGGAAGGAATATAAAATGGACTGGTTGCCACCACCTCCACCTCCACCACCTTTACCTGTTCCTCAAGTAAATAAGCCTTTCACGTTCCCAAGAATTCCCACATTTAAATTCAAATTCGAATAAAAATTTTTTATTTCATGCAATGTTTTATTTCTGTGCCGTCTTCAAGTATGCCCCAGTACTTACGCTTGGAGAGGACATGAACTTCGGTGAAAATTTTGTCCAATTTGAATTGACCCATCTTTTCACCGACCATACCCATTTCAATGAGTTTGTTGTATCCTTCTTCGTTCGTCATGAGCGCATCGATGTTCTCGTAGTAAACCACAACTTTGGATTTAACTTCGGAGAAGAATTTGTTGTAGTTGTCAAGGACTGCCTTTGCGAACTGAGGGTATGACCAATGTTCGACAATAGGTTTTAATGTGGTTACTAAGCCATTTTGACCTTGAGTAAATTCGTACTTCAAAACAAAAGGAGAAAACCTTTCAACAAAGTTGTCGACCTTCTCATAGTGTTTACTCTTCATCTTTGAGGTTTCTTAATGGAATATCCCCATGTCGAATTCATAAGCAATTTGAGTGTCATTGCAAGTTGGGGTTTGAAGCTTTCCTAATATCATACAGTTGTTGTATGACTTTTCCAACTGTATAGTTCTTCCCGGAACTCACCATCTTCGTTTGAATTCCAGTCGGAATATATTGGACAAACCTCATGTATGCAGCGTTAAGGTCGACATAGTATATTTTTCATATGAGTCGAACTTGTCGCATCCAATCGGCCCAGTTTTTGGAAATTCAAGCGAGTCTCTTATCTTTTGAGAAACTTCTCCTGTTATCTCATAAACATCGTCAAAGCAACCTGTTTCATATAAAACCTTCTGACCTAACTCTGATGCTCTCCAATACAATTGACGTCGATTGGATGTCTCAATGGAAGTTTGTTTATAGCATCTTGAAGTTCTTGCAACCTCATTGGAAGTTCTTCTGGTTCAGGTTGGTATCCGAACAATCCAACTCCTTTGGAACTGTGTAACTTCTTTTGTGCTATAACCTTGTCTGGAACAACTTTTGATCTTACCAACAATGAAAAGTTGTTTCGTCTTTTGGTACAAAAGTTTCTGTCAGCTTGTCATCTGGAATTGGTTCAAACAAGCCTTTCTCGAAAAGAATGTTAACAGCTCTGACAATGTTGCACTTACCTTTTCCGAACAATGGGTTTGTAAGACTTTCGTTCAACATGAAGTGGTTGTGGACAAGTACAATCTTCAACCATGGTAAGTCTTTGTCAACAACATAGTCGTCATGTGAAGAACCTTTCTCAGTCGGAATATTAACTCGGATATTGACATTTGCCAACGGTGCAATTTTTGACAATTGCCCTCTGAGAATGTACCTTGTCTTCACACATGACTCAAGATACTTCATTTTCTCATCTGTAACAAGACCAGAGTTCCTGAGACATGTAAGAATACAAGGTTCATTGACAATTGTTTCAATTGAATTGTAAATTCCATACCTTGTCAAGTCAATGTCAGACTTATTTCTGAACGGGAAGTATCCAGCATGTTGTCTGACTGCTTGAGGGTTAGGTTGATACCATTCGAACTTCACACTTGCAATTCCTTCAATTGCATTCAAAATGTCTGAGTCGGAATCAACCATTTGTTCTCTCTTTGTAGTCTTGAAAGCGTCAAGAAGTTGTGCGGCTGTTGTGACATTGCCATGTGCATAGTAAATGTGACCATCCAAATCTGTTACGGTCAATCTGAGATTGTATCCTTTCTTATTTCCGTCTTGTATGGCAGCAAGTACTCCCATGAAGCCTTCTTTGTTCTTTCCTTCGTCAAAGTTTACTGTAAAGGTTCGACCGGATGTAATTTTACTTCGAACTTCACGATACTTTTCATATGCATATCTTGTTCTTTCCATGGGAGCATGTGCGTCTTCACCCTTTCCTTTTTTCCGTCTCAAAGGATGCAATTGTTCGTCATGTTTCCAGTAGAATCTGGCAAAGCCGTCGTGTCCTTCAACTTGAGGTTCAGTAACATCGAAAGGCATGTCCATAAGACGCTCTTCTTCTAACCTCTCTAGTCTGTTTGGATAATTTGCGCGTGCTGTTTCCAGGTCCATTTCATAGCGAAGACCAGACAGTTTGTCATAGACTTTTATGGGTCTTCCCTTCCTATATTTAAACTTCTTCGAAACTCTCCAACCATATCTTTCTAACTCTGCTTTTATTCTAGCAGACCTTCTGTCCATTCTATATGGGGGCATTTTTATAAAAATAAAAAAATGTTTTTTCCTTTACTTTACATAACCACCTGCTACCATAAGTCTTTGACGCCAACCCATACCAGCTAATGAAGGTTGACTTGGTTTAGTTTCAATACTAAACTTTGGTTTTGGTTTTTCTTCAGTTTTTGGCTTCCCTTCTTCTATTGGTTTTTCGTCACTTTTCGGTTCCTTTGACTTTACTTCACTTGCAGAAACAGTTGTGTCGTCAACATCTTCATAAATATCATATGCCATCTGTTTTTGTTTTCCTTTCAACTTTTTGTGTTTGTTGTAAAGTTTAGAATATTTTGACTCTAAGTCAATGAGATGTTCTATAATGAACTGTTGGTCAGTGAAGTAAACTTTTCCATCTGTTGTCTCGAAAGCTCCTTCAGACTTCAATATTTTATTTGTGAGAGTCTGTTTCTTTTTTGAGATACTAGCCGTTCCATTTTTATGAAAAGTGACTTTGTAGTTAGGGTTTTGTATTTCCAGACTGGCACTTTCTATTATTGAATTTTTCTTTCATCTGTAAGTTCTTTGACAGGTTTTGACAATGGTTCTGAACTTTTTGTTTGTGGTGTCAAATCTACCGTTTCAACTTCTTCGGTCATTTCATCTCAGTAAAAAATTTTAGTTTGGTTTGTTTTCAACTGGTTGTTGTTGTTTTTTAAGTCGGTCTAAAACTTCCTGAGGTATAGGAAGAACTTGACAAACACGTGGTGGTGTAACTGCTGGAAGTCGACAAATCCATCTTGAACACATTTGTCTTAAAGCTGTATTGTTCATTTCATCTCAGTAAAAAACTTTACATTCCCCAAGTTTGAGGTGGTTGAGGTTGGTTGTTGTTTACCCACTGTTGTGCATGGTTATATCTCTGTTAAAGAATCTTTCACCTTGGTCCATATAGTGCCCTGCTTGGTTATAGTAGTCATTTGCTTTGTTATAGCCTACTTGTCTTCCTACATTGTCCATCCATCCTTGAACTTTTCCTCTTGTTTCAGGATTTGGAATAAGATTTGCTGCATCTCGTGCTACATCCCAACCTTTCTGTACAGTTGTATAATAGGTTGTGCTTTCTCTTTAAGTATACCTAATGTACTCAAAATCTTCCTTCCAATTCCAAATGCACCTCTGGCTATTGTTCCCACTGCGGGCAAAAATCTGGATGCAACTCCTGCTAACGCGCCAAATAAACCCATTTCTTATGGGTTAAAAAATGACGAATCCAAACAAGGACCCCTATGTTTCTAAAGCGACAAAGAAAGCACTCATGGTAAAAATCTTTAGTTCAACACCAAATGCTTGGTTTATGGATATCTTGGAAAACATTCCGAGAGTTAGAACAGATGGACCACCATACTGGCTAATATTTGTTGGTCAAAACACAAGATACTGTGAAGCCATACCATTATGGTCCAAAAATATTTTAGATGTGAAAACTGCTTTGACAATATTCGTTGACAAATACCATCCAACAAAACTGACATCTGACTGTGAAAGTTCTTTCAAATCAGATGATATTAAAAACTATCTGCGTTCAAAAAATGTAAACCAATATTTCATTGTCGACCAAAACCATTCTGCTCTTGGTGTCATTGACAGTTGTATAAAAATCTTAAGAGACTTAAACCAACCACAAGGTGGTGAAGCAAATGAAATGTCATATGACGACAAATATAGACACTTCTCCATGGCAAAGATGAGACAAGTTTTAAATATTTACAATAACCGGAAACAAAAAGGTTTGGGAAACCACTCCCCCGAAGAAATGAAAAACAACCCTGACTTAGAGAAAGACTATATATTTAATAGTTTAGTCAAAAGAGACAAACAAGAAAGAATGCCAGGCTTCAAACTTCAGAAAGGTGACAAAGTAAAAATAGAAATACCTAAACGCGACCCATATGAAAATACTATTGACTATGACAACAATGGGAACCCGACAGGTACTCACATTCGTGTTCGTAAAAATAGAAGAAAGTATACAAGAGAATATTATGAAGTTTTAGGCAAACATGGCAAAATGTACAGACTGCAAGCAGAAGATAAAACTACTATTGTCAGACCTCGTTTCAAACTTGTCAAAGTTCAAGGTGGTATACTTTCAAAGACAGTTCCTAACAAATATAAGACAACTCCTGACGAATATGCTAAAGAAGTGGAACATGACGACTAAGCATTTCTATACCATGCGTAAACTGTCATGTAAGGTGGCATGTAGTCTTTACTTTGTCCCGTTGTTTGCGTATATCCCGAAACGCGATGTGTATGGTTTCCTCCTCCCTCAGTGTTACTCCAGTAACAATCTATAGCAAACTTAACGTTGTCTTTAACATCATATCCTTTACCTTTTGTCATTGCTGACCAATCCCAATATCTATGCTTATGCCAACCTGCTTGAGATGTACTTAAATCTATGTAGTGACTATGTGCAGGTAAATTTTCACCTGAAATCGTTTTACTTCCACCTGTTTCCTTTGAAGAGTTTGCACAATACAAAAACCTGTCGACTATTTGAGTCCAAGTTCCAAAACCAAGTACTACTTCTGGTCTGGTAGAGTTCATTGACGTATAAATAGAGCCTATAGGATATAATGTTTGAAGTATTTCCGTCTTTAATGTTTGAAGCTCTGTTTTGTCTGCTTTCTTCTCATATAAATCTTGAGCAGTGAATTTAACGTTTTTTTCATCCTCCATGACATAAACATCTTTACATCTAATGTTTTTCATCGTTGTTATGTTTTCTTCCGATGTTAAACCTTGTGGAAAGTTAGGAGGTTTCCAATATAATACATCCCCACCAGTTTCTTCAACCGTTCCTTCAATACTTTCTATAGCAACAGTTGTAAAACTTGTATGTGTATGGTTCTTATCTGCTTTCTTCTCTAACTCATCGTTAACATAAGTTTTATCTGCTTTAAGGTCTAAACATCCTGAAACCCATCCTGTATTGGCTTTACCTTTTAAAATCTTCGATGTCCGTTCATGGTACCATTCAACCCTTTCTTTCATTTCGTTATCTTTTTCATCCACATATTCCTTATCCGCCTTCTTCACTAACACACTAGCCACCCATCCCTTATCTGCTTTCTTTTCAAGGCTAACGTTTAAGTCTGTTATTTCAGATATAGAATGTGTATGAGTCTTTTTAGAATATTCGTTTTCAGCTCTTGTCACTTCACTTGACATTTTATTGTCAACATATGTTTTGTCTGCTAGTTCAGGATGAGTATGTTCTTTTGTTGCATAAGCATTGTTAGCTCTTTCTTCTTCTTTTGCTATTGCATCGTCTACATATTCTTTGTCAGCTTTGTTGTCAACATCTGTTTTCAAAAGAAGTTCATTTATAGGTTTCTCGTTTAAAGTTCCTTTTGTTGGATTTATACAGACAGTATGGTTCTTATTGTCTTGAAACAGAAACTCATCTGTCATTGGGTTTAATGTCAGTTTTAAGTTTCCTTCTTTCAATGACTCAGATATCTTAGAATAGTTTGAAAAGTTTGTTGTGTTCTTATTTAGAGCTTGTATAATGAGTTGTCGGTTGTGTTGTATTTCTCTCATAGACGCTGTTTCATTTGACATTTTTATTCTAGATAAAATATGCTTTCAATAGAAAAAGAAAATTCTAGAGTTGCTACAACTAAACCATTAGATGAACTTTTTACTAATGTCGGTCAAAAGTTTGAGACAGAGACCGTAAAGCATGAAGGCTATCGTTTTGACTACCCATTAAGATGGTTAAGAGACCCATCCGTCACAAAAGCTATTGGCTTTCGTAGAATGAAGTTCATTTCAGAAGCCATACATGGTTTCCCATTTACGGTCGGTTTTGAAGTTCGATACTATAACAAAGAAAAACGTATGTATGAGAAATTTGAACAGGGAAAACTTTTACAAGTGAATTTGCTTGTAAACTTAGAAACAACTCTTCAAGCTTTTCAAGAAAAAATAAACGATATCTATCTCGAATATGCAAAACAGTACAACATTGACGAAGGAGAGTACCATCTCGATATTATATATGACAGGAAAAATGCAACTGTTAAAATCAATAGAATAGAAGACCTTGGAGAAAACGTTTATATTTCTACAAAATATAACAACTTGGCATGGTATAGATTTTTGAGGATGTTAAATCAGCCTGCAGCATATCCAGTACACCCGGACTTTTATGAAGTCGAAAACCCTAATGGAACATATGAAAATGTTTTCGACTCAGATGCTATTATCGTTCATGCTTCATTTTCTGGCGCCCAAAACTCTTTTTATGCTTGGCAAATGACTTTTACGAAAAACCTACAAAGCTATATGAACCACCAAGTGGAAGTATTTCAGACTTTCAAGTATGGTTTACAACAGATGGAAGAAAGAGAATAATTCCATTATACCATGCGTTTTACTTAGAACTTAGTCTCATATACAACTACTATCGAACGGTAAAAATATAATTTTTTAATACGGTTGAGGTGTTGGATTTGGTTGCCAACTTGACTGTGGTGCAGGTTCAGGCTGTTGTATAACAGGAGCTTGTTCTTCTGGTTCAGGGTCTTTAGGTATAATACCAACGAACTGACCTACTCTTTTACCAATATTTTTGACACCGTTCCAAATTCCTCTTCCGACAGATTTTATTCCATTCCATATACCTCTTCCAACATTTCGAAAGAAGTTTCCAATACTACTGAAGAAACCCATTTTACTATATGTAAAAATCTAATGTCCGCCTAGTCTCTTACGTTTCCTTCTGAGTTCCATAGCATTTTTTAACTGGAGCTCATACATTCTATTTCTCCTCTGGTAGAAAACATACTCTTGGTCAACTCCTGTGTTCGCGTCATCTGCATAAAGTTGTTTATATCCCACTTCAGGGTTTGTATAAAACTCTTTCCATCTCATATTGCATACCATGGTGGCAAACCTAACGCAGCGTCATTTGACATGGCAGTTTGCATTTGTACATCTGTTGGCACTTGACCATAGTTTGCCATTGCAGTTTGTATTCTAACTTCATTTGGAATATTCTCTGGGTTTGGTTGTCCAGGTTGCTGTGCATTCGCTAAGTTCTGTGCGTTCATTTAATATTAGATAAAAATATCTCTTACGAGTACATATGCTGAACATTTGCAGGCAATGGTTCATCTTCATATTCTCTGTACCTTTCTGCCACGTCAAATAAATAAATGACACAATGGAAAAAACCTAAAACAAGTAGTCCTATTTCAAACCACATTTACTTACTAGTAAAATTTCTTTGTTATGACACTTTCTCCAGTTTATAGGACCTCTCTCATATTCTATCTTGTCATATCTAAACTCATAGTCATGTATGTCCTCTAACCATCTCATAACGGTTTCCAAACCACTTTTATCGGATGTAAAGTAAAAGCATGGACAGTTATGTAAAACGTCTAAAGTTTCTAAAGAGTCTCTCAAAGTCCAGTCTACTTGGTATTGAAAATCCCATGTGTTATAGAACGGCGGGTCCACTATAAAGAAAACATTTTCCTTGTCTTTATATTTTTCATACAACTCTGTCCAATGACATCTCACAAACTCTATACCCTCAATATATTTTTCTATGTCCTCTTTGAAAACATTTGTATAGTTAAGATATAAAACTTTTGACATAAGTGTTTCAATGTCATGAACTCTTATAGAACCACTATATAATAGTCTAGCAGATATACTATCCCAGTCTATATATTCTGCTTTTTTCAAAACCTCTCTCACAATATTTTTGTTATCTAATGGTATACGTTCCATCTTACCTATAGGTATCTTTTCTTTCAACTCACTCAATATTTTGTTTGTGTCTGGTATATGTTTGAGACGGTCCATATAGTTGTCGAAGTCATTGCATATAATCTTTGAGTCAGGAAATATTGTATGGCACAAATGGGATATATAGAAACTTCCACCGAACAAGTCTACAAATGTTAGACCATTCGGTAGTTTCTTAAGTTCTCTCAATAGAATATCTTTACATTTACTCTTATTTCCAAAGAACGGTAACGGTGGTTTTGTAAAATTCATTTATATATAATAATAAAAATGTTTTTTCCTGAAAAGTGACAGAAAAGGCTTCTCAAAGTATACTTCCTTGGAACGCCCGTAACTTTTCCTGTAGCGACGATAGACCCTTACTTGTCCGGACAAAGTTATACTAAACATCTTCAGGGCTAGAAGGGGCGCAGCCCCTGGAAGCCCCACCTCCTTTTTTTTTTTTTTTTTTACCCAACATTAATTTTGTATTTTAGTTTTTAAGATATTCATTTTATTATACGTCTTATTCAGAAAATTAAATATATTTGTGAGGGAAAACGGAGGAAATAATAAATATGTCAAGATCGAGGAATTGACAATTTTAAGGAAAATATTAAGTTGTGTATTTTGTGTTTATCTCATTGTGTGATGCATATTTTCACGATCTGACAGCAGAAATCGAATCAGCAGAGCCAGAAGAATCAGATTACGCGGGGAAAATAAGTTTTGAACGCTTAGATAGGGGTAAAATCAGACTTTATGAGGTATGTTGTATAATTATAGTTTGTGCTGTAATATGTCATGAGATCAGAATATGAAGGGAGTATATATGTGTTATTGTCACAGGTATATATGTGAGGATAGCTCAGTAGAGTCTGTAAAATAGTTTAGTAGAAGAAAAAGTTATATAAAGAACAAAAAATTAAAAATAAACATTATTAAGTGAAAACCAAAGTTTACCTATTTTATGTAAGGTTTTGTCTTTGTGGGTTGAGGTATATGACAAAAAAGATTGGATAATGTACTCTTGTCGGTCAAACTTCCGCGTTCAAGTTATGAATGCGGAACATTGTTCCATTCTGGGAGACATGCAGAGGCAATGTCTCCCAGAATGAGACACTGCGACCGACAGGAGTGCACAATACACTCTTGTCGGTCAAAGTTTTGCAATCACATTCTGATTGCAGAAGATTGTCTCATTCTGGGAGACATGCAGCGGCAATGTCTCCCGAAATGATACCGTCATGCCAACACCAATTTATTCCTTCTTTCCATTGTCATACAATTCAATATTTTTATCAATCTTAATCAACTTTTTTTATTCTTCTTTAATTCAATTTATCTTTCTCCTAGAATATCTATTCCTTTAACAGACATAAAATCACTAATCGAGCTTTTTCAATACTCAAAATTTCATATAAATCTTTGTTATTTTTTCTCTCATCGCTTATTTTATTAAATATACATATTTCCTCTCACATATCCCTCTTCATATATATTGGATATCAACACTCATCTATTAGAACAATATATTTTCGCTTAATCTCATATTATTCATTAACAATCTTTCATCTTCTTATTTCTAGTTAACCTACCAATATATATATAGAATATATGCCCAATTACATATTCAGATACATTAAATTCAAGAAATTCTTCTAATATTATTCTCCTATTCATAATAAAATCATATTTAGTCTCACATCACAATTCTATCAGTTCTCCAATATCATATCATATTGGTAACATCACATATATCTCTTATAATATCACTTAAATTTGTATTTTTTTATTAATTATATTTAATTAGTTCTACATTCTATTATTATAGAGGTTTGACAAACTCATCAATAGTTAAAATCAAAATCTATTCAGAACTTTGAATCTAATGAAAATTACATTTCGATATCTTTTTGCAAGCTTAATTTTTTGTATTATCTTAAAATACATTTAGTAATGTTATGTACGTATTGAATTCAAATTATAGCGCAGTAACATGCAACTCATCTTGAGATTCACATTTCATTTTCACAATTATTGCATATATACATCAATAACATATTGTACTCATATATCTACACGACTCTAAACTCAATGACATCAAATAATGCTTGTAATATTTAAAATAATTTTTGCATTTTTGATTCTCAGCTTAACTTCTATAAATGTCACCAAAACATTTCATTCCTACCAAGAAATAATATATTAGTAATTAAGCGTTTATTACCATTGTTACTCACATCATATTAATTCATTTTTGTAATTTTTTAAATAAATGACTGGAATCATAAACCCTATGTATCCATATCAACATGTTAAAATTTCAAAGTCTGAAACTTAGTATACATTGAGTTTCATGAAATCAGATAATCTCGTAGATTTCTTAAATATTATATATTGCTGGCCAATAATGATGCAGCATGATTCTCCATCATATCAGCATTCTAAACATATTTTTATTTTGTCAATTGGCATAAATTAAGGGTGCTTTTCAGGCGATAAATGGTATTTTAGATACCTGGGGAGGGGGTCATGAAAAAGTTGCAAAAGTCAAAACTTGAGGGTACTTACGGGTGATATTAACTACAGAAATATATTACAAACAACTATTTTTGGAACTTAATTTAAGATGTTTTTGATATTTTTCATTCATATTTTTAAAATATCATTTTTTATTAAACTCGTTAATGAGTCAAATAATCTCAGAATTGTGCTGTCTAGTATGTTCCTATATATAATACCAAATATGCCATATAATTTGAAATTGCAAAACTAATTTGGTCAGATTCTTTTGCTTAAAATCGAAAAATTTGCTCCAATATATGTTATCCAGCCTGAGCAAATCCCTACCTGCTGTTTAATCTTGATATTTCGAAATTTGAGACGTAGAAGATGGCCAACACGTTATCATATTGTGAGAAGTTGTTTGTATTTGTATGTGTTTAATATATTTATTGGAGAAATTGCTTCTAATTAAACAATGAAAAACGATGTGAAAAATAACGTTACATATTTATTTCAAATTCAGATAGACATTGAATTTTCACATTGTGATATTTGTTTATTGATAAATAAAAAAGTTTAAAAAAAAAATCATTTATTTTTTATTTGTTAATAATACTAGAAATAATTGGTTGAAGTGTAGCGAACGCTGATGAAAGTGAAGTACTGAAATATTTCGTAGCAGCCACGAACTTATTCGTTCTATCGTCAACATTTACGCCCAAATCTGCCGTAAAGTGTGAAATAAGCTTTTCTCCTATTGAAAGTGCTCTGAAAAGCCTTCTCTGGTTGGTCATATGTAAAACAACAGCTGCGAAATAATAAATTCCTTCAACAAATTTTGCGAAACCACCCCCTTTGCTTGAATCCATGATTACTACGTTATTAGCGATGAACTCTAAGACAGAGAAAATCGCTGCGAAACCTTTTTGTGACTTGACATCACATAAATTAGGAGAAGTTTCAGCAAATAGAGCGTAATCATGCAGCAAAAGAGTCACCAACTCTCTTACGCATGAAGACAAGAACGGAAGAAGAATTTCATTATCTCCGATCTTATTTCCTAAGTAAGAGAAGTATGGCTTTGAAGATTGGAATGTCTTATCGAATAACTCAAAGACTTCCGGTGTTTCCGGCATCTTTTCATTGTTGTCAACTGGATCTGTTGACAAAATGAAAGATGATGACAAAGTTCCTGTTGTTCTCTTCAATATCAATGCGTTATCGAAGAGCTGGGCAAGCATCAGGACGTTTCCGATTTGGTTCATAAGAGACAAACAATTTCGGATCTCTTGATTATCAATAAAATAGTGATAGGCACCTTCAAAGACATCAAATGCCTGTGCGAATGTTGCTGATGCCGGCGGATTGGCAATTCTTGTCAAATTTTTACGAACATTGTCATAAATTTTAACAAACGGTTTTTCTAACTCTTCCAACAAAGTTGCGAAAAGTAAAGAGAAAACTTGGCCTGCGCCGTCTTCTATCATCCAGAAGAGGTCTTTTACGGATTCGATTGATATGATGCGTGTTGTCTTAAGGAGATATGCGTTGAAAAGCGAAGCAATGTCTTTTGTGAAAATTTGTTCGATTCCTTGCTTTATATTCATTTCTCCCTTAGGAAGAACACGCATTGGGAAGGAGAAAAATGAGCAATCTGGTACAAGTATGTTCTCAATGTGAGAATAAACGTGATTAAGAAGCAATGACTGCAATGATGAGGGATTATCAGTAGAAAGAGCAAGTCTAAGGATATCATTGAACGGGTTAAGTATTAATCCAAACGAGCAAAGCAATTCATGCGTCCTACGGAGGATTTCTATGATACGATAAAACATTGGGATAAAGAACAAGCCGTACGACTCAAGTATATTGACCAATGCCTTGAGTTTCTCGTGAATGAGCTCATTCAAGTTATCAGAAATCAATGTTTTAGTGTCAATTGGACATCCGAGGATACTTAACGTGTTTTGCTGCAAAATTACGCCAAGTCTGAGTGAAGAAATATCTTCCTTGAGGAAATCTTCTTGATTGGCCTCATCTTTCATATCTAAACTTAACATTGATTCTTTTAATTGAGAAACAACTGTTTTTGGCATGAATTGTAAGAGCTGGAACTTGAGAATTGGGTTCAGAGCTTGTTGTGCAATCTCTCTGGATAAGTATTGGATGCAAATTGATGCTTCCGCGCGAATTTCTTCGAAAAGATACTTAGATTTGAGGTATTTAAGGGCTGTGGCTGCTGCATCATCGTAAATGGACAATGGATAGAAGATAGCACCTGTCAAATCGAGTTTTCTGTAGTTTTTCAGAGCATATTTTGAAAGAATTACGGGAATTGAGGTATTTACAGGGAAGAAAGTGCGTTTGTTGAGATCAAGATAGTATTCCTTGTAGTAAAGGAATGATTGGTCGCATACTTTGTCCAATGTATTGTTCAAATCAAGTAATTCTATGAAATATGATGATTGGTCGAGGAATTCTTTGAATATTTTCTCATCCTCGCTATCGAGTGGTTGTCCTTTGAATACTCCTTGCCTTGAAACAGCGATCGCATCTGGATTTACCAGTAATTGAAGCTGAACGCGAAGAAGTTCGATAAGATATATATGTGGTGTACCTATATCTATCGAAACATCGTGTTTTTCGACCTTGGAAGCCTTCTTTGCGTTAATTTCGTATCTCATTCCGTTCGGAAAGTATCCTAGCAATGTTCTGAGCACTTCAAGGATGTTTGTGATGATATCCTTGTACTCCTGGTTCCTCAAAATTGATTGAGGAAGGATATTAATTGCAAAATTCTGTAAAGTGGTCTGAATTGAATCGGAAATGGCCTGGAAGATCGTTGTATAATTTGATAATAAAAGTTCCTTGGTGGATTTGGCCAACCAAAGGATATTTAGTATAAGAAGTGAATTTTCTTCTGTTAAACCACGGCGCATGGCCCATTCGTAGAGGGAAATGTTCTGATCTGCATTCTGATCGATCTTTGGGGCTTCAATCTGCTTGGCAATGATCATTTCTCTGACAATTCCCATTGACATTGAAATAATCTTCAAAATTCCTGGTAATTCTTGGAACAACTTGTTGCAAATATTAATATTCATGTCAAGTTTCTGCTTTCCGGACACTACAGGGCTGTTATTAAGATCATTAATGATTTCTGTAAGAATTGAGAAGAATTTATGGGCATCTTCTTGCAATTCTGGAAGCCTCTTCCTTGGGAATTGTATTGGATTCTTCACTGTCCCTTTCTTTGGAAGGGTAATGTAGTCAATGTGAATTCCAACGTTTGTAGCAACGGTATATTCGTAAATAAGTGGTAAGAAACGATAGGATTCTACGGCTGCTTTAGCCATACCGGTGTATTCGATGTCAATTGGCTTGAGAATGAACATTTTCTTCTTTTGACCTTTTTTGTCTTTCTGTTCCTTCTCGTAGGCCTGGTTATAGACGATTATGATGAATTTGAGTAGAGTGATGTATTGGAATTTCTTGTCTTGATTGATGAAAGAACGATTTTCAATTTGATTTCGAAGATATCCCATTAAAATATCAGTAATGAGACTAATTCTTTTGTAGTTAGGATTAGCTAAGATCGAATTGATGAATTCTTGAGTAATAGCGTTTGTCGTTCCCAGCCAAATACGAATTGTTGTTTCTGCCATATCTGCAGCGTTTCCTGTCTGCGCTCCTTTGGAGATTTTCATCAACGTGGAGATATCGTTCAGTACAGATTTCTTTGAAGGCTGTAAGTTTTCGATTGTAAATAAAACAAAATAAATTTCGCAAAAAGTTTCAATTAATTTATCACTCCATTGGCCATTTGACCATAAGCTTTCGCTATACAACATGCGCGTCAAATTTTGTGTAATTACAGTTAAATCGTCTTTTTCTTTTTGGAATTTTGCAATAAGCTGGTGTAACATTTGTAGGGCTGTCTGAGCTGATTGCGAATTGCTACTTAGTTTTTGTATCAAACTTTCATCCTTTGAGATTGGCATTAATAAACCTCTGTGAGAGTAAATTTCAACGAGATAGCTCTTTGCAACTTCCAAATCCTTCAACAAATCTGTAATGACTTGAAGGTGTTTAGCAGCAGGTATTTCTGCCTTAAGAGAAATAATTCTATCGATATAATCCTGTCCTGGGTACGAAATTAAGGAACTGAGAGGTACAGATCTCGGAGTTGTCTCAAGGAAATGTATATCGCTGACGTGCTGCCATTCCTCAACCGATTTAGCGCTTGGAAGGTGAATGGTAGTATTCGTCATCGATTTATAAAAAAAAATTTACTTTTGACATTTTGCTATTTGATTGAAAATCGACATTTTTAAGGATGTCAATTCGGAAAATTGTTTTCATTTTAGGAGAATATAATTTTCCTTTTGGAAAATTTAAAAAGTGAGACGCGCAGGATTCGAACTTTTTTAAAAGTTGATTTAAATATATTCTAGTGTGGATTCTAAGGATAATATCATATTTAAAATAAGAATATGTAATAAACAGAAATTCATCAAAAGTGACAGCTCTCAATTTTTTGACATTTGTAAATTCTAAATTGAATGAGAAAAATGAAATAATACTAAGCATAATACAATATTCTAGATTTAAAAAAAAAAAAAAAAAAAAAAAAAAGGAAGTGGGGCTTCCAGGCACTTCGTGCCTTCTAGCCCTGAAGTTGATGAGTATAATGAAGTTTTTATTCGGAGGACTCTTCTTCTTCCTCCATTGCTTCTGGGAAGAAGCCTTCTTCTGGGTCGAAAACATTATATAATGTGTCGCTTTTCACAAATTATATATGTTTTCATGTTTTGTCACTTTTCTGTCACTTTTCAGGTAAAAACATTTTTATTATTATATATAAATGAATTTTACAAAACCACCGTTACCGTTCTTTGGAAATAAGAGTAGATGTAAAGATATTATATTGAGAGAACTTAAGAAACTACCGAATGGTCTAACATTTGTAGATTTGTTCGGTGGAAGTTTCTATATATCCCATTTATGTCATACAATATTCCCAGACTCAAAGATTATATGCAATGACTTCGACAACTATATGGACCGTCTCAAACATATTCCAGACACAAACAATATATTGAAAGAGTTAAAAGAAAAGATACCTATAGGTAAGATGGAACGTATACCATTAGATAAGAAAAATATTGTGAGAGAGGTTTTGAAAAAAGCAGAATATATAGACTGGGATAGTATATCTGCTAGACTATTATATAGTGGTTCTATAAGAGTTCATGACATTGAAACACTTATGTCAAAAGTTTTATATCTTAACTATACAAATGTTTTCAAAGAGGACATAGAAAAATATATTGAGGGTATAGAGTTTGTGAGATGTCATTGGACAGATTTGTATGAAAAATATAAAGACAAGGAAAATGTTTTCTTTATAGTGGACCCGCCGTTCTATAACACATGGGATTTTCAATACCAAGTAGACTGGACTTTGAGAGACTCTTTAGAAACTTTAGACGTTATACATAACCATCCATGCTTTTACTTTACATCCGATAAAAGTGGTTTGGAAACCGTTATGAGATGGTTAGAGGACATACATGACTATGAGTTTATATATGACAAGATAGAATATGAGAGAGGTCCTATAAACCGGAGAAAGTGTCATAACAAAGAAATTTTATTAGTAAGTAAATGTGGTTTGAAATAGGACTACTTGTTTTAGGTTTTTTCCATTGTGTCATTTATTTATTTGACGTGGCAGAAAAGTACAGAGAATATGAAGATGAACCAATGCCTGCAAATGTTCAGTATATGTACTCGTAAGAGATATTTTTATCTAATATTAAATGGACGCACAGAACTTAGCGAATGCACAGCAACCTGGACAACCAAACCCAGAGAATATTCCAAATGAAGTTAGAATACAAACTGCAATGGCAAACTATGGTCAAGTGCCAACAGATGTACAAATGCAAACTGCCATGTCAAATGACGCTGCGTTAGGTTTGCCACCATGGTATGCAAATATGAGATGGAAAGAGTTTTATACAAACCCTGAAGTGGGATATAAACAACTTTATGCAGATGACGCGAACACAGGAGTTGACCCAGAATATGTTTTCTACCAGAGGAGAAACAGAATGTATGAGCTCCAGTTAAAGAATGCTATGGAACTCAACAGGAAACGTAAGAGACTAGGCGGACATTAGATTTTTACATATAGTAAAATGGGTTTCTTCAGTAAGATAGGAAACTTCTTTCGAAATGTTGGAAGAGGTATATGGAATGGAATAAAATCTGTCGGAAGAGGAATTTGGAACGGAGTCAAAAATATTGGTAAAAGAGTAGGTCAGTTCGTTGGTATTATACCTAAAGACCCTGAACCAGAAGAACAAGCTCCTGTTATACAACAGCCTGAACCTGCACCACAGTCTAGTTGGCAACCAAATCCAACACCTCAACCGTATTAAAAAATTATATTTTTACCGTTCGATAGTAGTTGTATATGAAACTAAGTTCTAAGTAAAACGCATGGTATAATGGAATTATTCTTTTTCTTCCATCTGTAGTAAACCATACTTGAAAGTCTGAAATACTTCCACTTGGTGGTTCGTATAACTTTGTAGGTTTTTCGTAAAAGTCATTTGCCAAGCATAAGAAAGAGTTTTGGGCGCCAGAAAATGAAGCATGAACAATAATAGCAGCTGGGTCGAAAACATCTTTAAATAAATATGGTTCATCTCTTGCATATCGACTGTAAATATTTGCTAAAGGAAGTTCGACTTTCTGATTTAACATTCTTTGCAAATAATACCATGACATTGCAGTGAATTCTGTATATATTTGTTCGTCTTTCTTTGGATTGTCTTCGTAGATTTGAAATGACACTTGTGAATTTTGTTTGTCATATACAATTCTCACATAAAGTGTGCTCTCGGTATTTGCATATTCATCAGCATATTTTGCATAACATGAATTTATTTTATCTTCTATATTTTTTAACGCAGTCTGTAGAGAAGATGAAAGGTCAACTTGTATTAGCTCAATTTCTTCCCACATTTTTCGTTTCCCTTCAGATATATAATCTATATGAAACCTTACAATAAATGGAAAACTTTTATCTTCTACAGACACAAACTTCATTCTACGAAAGCCAATAGCTTTTGTGACAGATGGGTCTCTTAACCATCTTAATGGGTAGTCAAAACGATAGCCTTCATGCTTTACGGTCTCTGTCTCAAACTTTTGACCGACATTAGTAAAAAGTTCATCTAATGGTTTAGTTGTAGCAACTCTTGAATTTTCTTTTTCTATTGGAAGCATATTTTATCTAGAATAAAAATGTCAAATGAAACAGCGTCTATGAGAGAAATACAACACAACCGACAACTCATTATACAAGCTCTAAATAAGAACACAACAAACTTTTCAAACTATTCTAAGATATCTGAGTCATTGAAAGAAGGAAACCTAAAACTGACATTAAACCCAATGACAGATGAGTTTCTGTTTCAAGACAATAAGAACCATACTGTTTGTATAAATCCAACAAAACGAACTTTAAACGAGAAACCTATAGATGAACTTCTTTTGAAAGCAGATGTTGACAACAAAGCTGACAAAGAGTATGTAGACGATGCAATAGCAAAAGAAGAAGAAAGAGCTAACAAAGCTTATGCAACGAAAGAGGATGTTGAAAAGAAAGCAGATAAAACATATGTTGACGATGAGTTAGCATGTGTGGCTAGTGCGTTAGTGAAGAAGGCATATAAGGAATATGTGGATGAAAAAGACAATGAAATTAAAGAAAGGGTTGACTGGTACCATGAACGGACAACAAAGATTTTAAAAACGAAAGCCGATACAGGATGGGTTTCAGGATGTTTAGACCTTAAAGCCGACAAAGAAACTGTAGATATGTTGGCACAAACGGTTTCAAGTCATACCAGAGGTTTAATGGAAGATGGACAACAGTTGAAAGAGCTTGAGAAAGGTGTTACAGAGTTAAGGAATACAAAAGCAGACTCGACATGGATAAAAGGATATGTAGATGCAACAAAAGAACGTATTTTCGCATGGACAGAAGGAACATACCCACAAAAATATCATAGACATAGCATCTCTGACGTAAATGAACTTGAAGAAAAGTTATATAAAAAAGCAGACAAAACAGAGCTTCAAACATTAAAGACAGAAATACTTCAAACAGTATATCCTATAGGTTCTATTTATACGTCAATGAACTCTACCAGACCAGAAGTAGTACTTGGTTTTGGAACTTGGACTCAAATAGTCGACAGGTTTTTGTATTGTGCAAACTCTTCAAAGGAAACAGGTGGAAGTAAAACGATTTCAGGTGAAAATTTACCTGCACATAGTCACTACATAGATTTAAGTACATCTCAAGCAGGTTGGCATAAGCATAGATATTGGGATTGGTCAGGAATGACAAAAGGTAAAGGATATGATGTTAAAGACAACGTTAAGTTTGCTATAAATTGTTACTGGAGTAACACTGAGGGAGGAGGAAACCATACACATCGCGTTTCAGGGTATACGCAAACAACGGGACAAAGTAAAGACTACATGCCACCTTACATGACAGTTTACGCATGGTATAGAAATGCTTAGTCGTCATTTTCAACTTCTTTAGCATATTCGTCAGGAGTTGTCTTATATTTGTTAGGAACTGTCTTTGAAAGTATACCACCTTGAACTTTGACAAGTTTGAAACGAGGTCTGACAATAGTAGTTTTATCTTCTGCTTGCAGTCTGTACATTTTGCCATGTTTGCCTAAAACTTCATAATATTCTCTTGTATACTTTCTTCTATTTTTACGAACACGAATGTGAGTACCTGTCGGGTTCCCATTGTTGTCATAGTCAATAGTATTTTCATATGGGTCGCGTTTGGGTATTTCTATTTTTACTTTGTCACCTTTCTGAAGTTTGAAGCCTGGCATTCTTTCTTGTTTGTCTCTTTTGACTAAATTGTTAAATATAAAGTCTTTCTCTAAGTTAGGGTTGTTTTTCATTTCTTCGGGGGAGTGGTTTCCCAAACCTTTTTGTTTACGGCTATTGTAAATATTTAAAACTTGTCTCATCTTCGCCATGGAGAAGTGTCTATATTTGTCGTCATATGACATCTCACCTACCTCACCACCTTGTGGTTGATTTAAGTCTCTTAAGATTTTTATACAACTGTCAATGACACCAAGAGCAGAATGGTTTTGGTCGACAATGAAATATTGGTTTACATTTTTTGAACGCAGATAGTTTTTAATATCGTCTGATTTGAAAGAACTTTCACAGTCAGATGTCAGTTTTGTTGGATGGTATTTGTCAACGAATATTGTCAAAGCAGTTTTCACATCTAAAATATTTTTGGACCATAATGGTATGGCTTCACAGTATCTTGTGTTTTGACCGACAAATATTAGCCAGTATGGTGGTCCATCTGTTCTAACTCTCGGAATGTTTTCCAAGATATCCATAAACCAAGCATTTGGTGTTGAACTAAAGATTTTTACCATGAGTGCTTTCTTTGTCGCTTTAGAAACATAGGGGTCCTTGTTTGGATTCGTCATTTTTATCCTATAAGAAATGGGTTTATTTGGTGCATTAGCAGGAGTTGCATCCAGATTTTTGCCCGCAGTGGGAACAATAGCCAGAGGTGTATTTGGAGTTGGAAGGAAGATTTTGAGTACTTTAGGTATACTGAAAGAGAAAGCACAACCTATTATACAAACTGTACAGAAAGGTTGGGATGTAGCACGAGATGCAGCAAATCTTATTCCAAATCCTGAAACAAGAGGAAAAGTTCAAGGATGGATGGACAATGTAGGAAGACAAGCAGGAAACTACTATAACAAAGCAAATGACTACTATAACCAAGCAGGGCACTACATGGACCAAGGTGAAAGATTCTTTAACAGAGGATATAACCATGCACAACAATGGGTAAACAACAACCAACCTCAACCGCCTCAAACTTGGGGAATGTAAAGTTTTTTACTGAGATGAAATGAACAATACAGCATTGAGACAAATGGGTTCAAGATGGATTTGTCGACTTCCAGCAGTTACACAACGTGTTTGTCAAGTTCTTCCTATACCTCAGGAAGTTTTAGACCGACTTAAAAAACAACAACAACCAGTTGAAAACAAACCAAACTAAAATTTTTTACTGAGATGAAATGACCGAAGAAGTTGAAACGGTAGATTTGACACCACAAACAAAAAGTTCAGAACCATTGTCAAAACCTGTCAAAGAACTTACAGATGAAGAGAAAAATTCAATAATAGAAAGTGCCAGGTCTGGAAATACAAACCCTAACTATAAAGTCACTTTTCATAGAAATGGAACGGCTAGTATCTCAAAAAAGAAACAGACTCTCACAAATAAAATATTGAAGTCTGAAGAAGCTTTCGAGACAACAGATGGAAAAGTTTACTTCACTGACCAACAGTTCATTATAGAACATCTCATTGACTTAGAGTCGAAATATTCTAAACTTTACAACAAACACAAAAAGTTGAAAGGAAAACAAAAACAAATGGCATATGATATTTATGAAGATGTTAACGACACAACTGTTCCTGCAGGTGAGGTAAAGTCAGAGGAACCGAAAAGTGACGAAAAGCCGATAGAAGAAGAAAAACCAAAAACTGAAGATAAACCAAAACCAAAGTTTAGTTTGGAAACTAAACCAACTCAACCTTCATTAGCTGGTATGGGTTGGCGTCAAAGGCTTCTGGTAGCAGGCGGTTATGTAAAGTAAAGAAAAAAATATTTTTTTTTATTTTTATAAAAATGCCCCCATATAGAATGGATAGAAAATCTGCTAGAATAAAAGCAGAGTTGCAAAGATATGGTTGGAGAGTTTCGAAGAAGTTTAAATATAGGAAGGGAAGACCCATAAAAGTCTATGACAAATTGTCTGGTCTTCGCTACGAAATGGATTTGGAAACAGCACGTGCCAATTATCCAAACAGACTAGAGAGGTTAGAAGAAGAACGTCTTATGAACATGCCTTTCGATGTTAGTGAACCTGAAGTTGAAGGACACGACGGCTTTGCCAGATTCTACTGGAAACATGACGAACAATTGCATCCTTTGAGAAGGAAAAAAGGTAGTGCAGAGGATGGTCATGCTCCCATGGAAAGAACAAGATATGCATATGAAAAGTATCGTGAAGTTAGAAGTAAAATTGGTTCAGGTCAAACCTTTACAGTAAACTTTGACGATGGAAAGAACAAAGAAGGCTTTATGGGTGTACTTGCTGCTATACAAGACGGAAATAAGAAAGGATACAATCTCAGACTAACCATAACAGATTTGGATGGTCACATTTACTATGCACATGGCAATGAACAAACAGCCGCACAACTTCTCGACGCTTTCAAGACTACAAAGAGAGAACAAATGTTTGACTCCGACTCAGACATTTTGAACGCAATTGAAGGAATTGCAAGTGTCAAGTTCGAATGGTACCAACCTAACCCTCAAGCAGTCAGACAACATGCTGGATACTTCCCGTTCATAAATAAGTCTGACATTGACTTGACAAGGTATGGAATTTACAATTCAATTGAAACAATTGTCAATGAACCTTGTATTCTTACATGTCTCAGGAACTCTGGTCTTGTTACAGAAGAGAAGATGAAGTATCTTGAGTCATGTGTGAAGACAAGGTACATTCTCAGAGGTCAATTGGCAAAAATTGCACCGTTGGCAAATGTCAATATCCGAGTTAACATTCCGACTGAGAAAGGTTCTTCACACGACGACTATGTTGTTGACTTCAAATTACCATGGTTGAAGATTGTAATTGTCCACAACCACTTCATGTTGAACGAAAGTCTTACAAACCCATTGTTCGGAAAAGGCAAGTGCAACATTGTCAGAGCTGTAAACATTCTTTTCGAGAAAGGTTTGTTGGAACCAATTCCAGATGACAAGCTGACAGAAACTTTTGTACCAAAAGACGAAACAAACTTTTCATTGTTAGCAAGACCAAAAGTTGTTCCAGACAAAGTTATAGCACAAAAGAAGTACACTGTTCCAAAAGGAGTTGGATTGTTCGGATACCAACCTGAACCAGAAGAACTTCCAATGAGGTTGCAAGAACTTCAAGATGCTATAAACAAACTTCCATTGAGACATCCAATTGACGTCAAATTGTATTGGAGAGCATCGGAGTTAGGTCAGAAGGTTTTATGAAACAGGTTGCTTCGACGATGTTTATGAGATAGCAGGCGAAGTTTCTCAGAAGATAAGAGACTCACTTGAATTTCCACGAACTGGACCCATTGGTTGCGACAAGTTCGACTCAAACGAAAAGATATACTATGTCGACCTTAACGCTGCATACATGAGGTTCGTCCAATATATCCCGACTGGAATTCCAAACGAAGACGGTGAGTTCCCAGGAAGGAACTATACAGTTGGAAAAGTCATACAACAACTCTATGATATTAGGAAAGCTTCAAACCCCAAACTTGCAATGACAATCAAATTGCTTATGAATTCGACATGGGGATATTCCATTAAAAAACCTCAAAAGATGAAGAGTAAACACTATGAGAAGGTCGACAACTTTGTTGAAAGGTTCTCCCCTTTTGTTTTGAAATACGAATTTACTCAAGGTCAAGGTGGCTTAGTAACCACAGTAAAACCTATTGTCGAACATTGGTCTTATCCTCAGTTCGCAAAGGCAGTCCTTGACAACTACAATGAGTTCTTCTCCGAAGTCAAATCCAAAGTGAAGGTTTACTATGAGAACATTGACGCACTCATGACGAACGAAGAAGGGTACAACAAACTCATTGAAATGGGCATGGTCGGTGAAAAGATGGGTCAATTCAAATTGGACAAAATTTTCACCGAAGTTCATGTAATATCGAAAAGGAAGTACTGGGGTGTTAAAGAAGATGGTGAAATAGTTAAACATTGCATGAAATAAAAAATTTTTATTCGAATTTGAATCGGACAGGTCGAGTTACACCATTCTTGGTCTCAAACTCATATATAACCTGTTTGTCTGTATTTTCGTCGACTATGGCACGAGACACAAACATTGACCAAACGGACAAAAAGTGTCATTTCGGATGGTCACGCAGCCAATCGCATTCGAGCACTTCGAAGAAGCCTTACGTTCCAAGGGAGAGGGTGTCTGGTGCAAGGGAGAGGTCATGAGACTCTACGAGCAGTACATCCTCAATGCCTGGGAGGACAAATCGTCCTTGGATTGGCAATTCTACCAACTTCTCTGGGACGACCTCCTACGCAACTGGGAGAACGAAAGAGTCCAATTCAAAGGTCGGGAACTAATTTTGCAAATTGACCTTAATTTAACCCACTTAATGAACTAAACACCTAAATTTACTCGGGGTTTCCCCCTAAAATAAAATTTTTTTACTCTTAGAACCACTCGAGGTTCTCCTTACGGTTGTTGAGCTTGTCACCGTCAATGTGTCTGACCCTCGTCTTCTTGTCTGGATTTGGAACCCATTGAATTGCGACAAGCTTGCCCATGGAGATTGAACCGCGATTCCGAAGGTTAAGGTTCAAGTGTCCCAAGTTGTTGAGGACTGGGGTAAGAACCTTGCCTGTCTCCTTGTTGCGGATTTGGTATGGGTAGGGTTGGGAAATTTCGTAAGTGTCATCGGCAACAAGGGTTGCCCATGTAGCGGCTTCAGGAACTTCTTCTTCTTCCTCTTCTTCTTCGTGTTTCTCTTCTTCCTCTTCTTCCTCGACAATTCCTTCTTCAATTCTGTGTTCACGAAGTACGGTGTTGCATGTTCTGTCCTTTCCGAGTACCTTCCAGATGGCGTCTATCTCTTCGAAGAAACGGTAGATGAGTCTGGCAAGGTCTCGGTTCTCTCTCGCGTAAATGTGCAAGGTTTCCGTGAAATCGTTCAGGCATTTCTCATTGGAAGCTTGGTTCATGAGGAACTCACCTTTAAGTCCCTTCATCTCTTCCATAAGACTACTTTGGAGAGTCTTAATGGTGTTTGTCAGATGAGCTTTCAATTGGGCAATTTGAATTTGAACTGGGCGCTTGTCTGGCAACCTTGAAAGGACATCTGCCATTGTGTTCGGCTTCGGTGCTTGTTCGGACATCGAAAAAATGAAGTGGTTTGAGAATGGCGGTTTTACTTCAAAAAGCTTGTTATGACAGTTAAGTCATACAACAAGTTTAAAAATAATATCTTGTTCTTCTTCTGAACGTTTGTTGTCTCTTCCGATAAAAGTTTCGAACATGAGAACCAAAAAACGTTTTTTGAGATTGCGGAAGAGTTCAGGCAAACGTTCATATTCTGGATATGTTGGGAGCAGTTCAAAACATCTGAGCTGACTTTCGGACAAAATTGGGACAATGTCAGAAAATTCATCTTTGGTCGGACTGCTTGAAGGTAAGTCCCTTACATGTAAGTAGCTCTGGTAAAGTCTTCTCATTTCTGCTAACTTCTGGAGTATAGCTTCGTAATTTAAGAGTTTTAATTTTAATTGTCTTATTCCACTCTTGACATCTAAACGGTAACTATCCATGAGGTCAAGAGTAGCTTTGGTAGCTTTAAGTGGAGCTATCTGTTCCTTGACTTGTGCAATTTTGGTTGCAATTGTGGTTTGAGCTCCTTCAAGTTCGCCGTCTATGTCGTTCTCAACACCTTCAACCATAGCTTGAAACTCTTCATCGGTCCATTGAGTTTGGTGTGGGACGAATTTAACTTGCTTCATTCAAAAAATGAAAAAAAAATGTTTTTACTCAAAACGTTAAGGTTGACTGAACTGGTTGGATGTCGCCTTCACAGGTTATGTAGAATGGTTGACCCGAGAAGCGAAGGAGAGACTGAATTGCCAATTTCATATGGGGTAGGGGGTTCTCCTTGTTTGGTATTTTTATCCAAGGACGTTTGTTTAGGAACTTAACAAGAGCTTCTCTTTTGGCGTCCTTTATGTCGTCGTAGGCTGTCCCGTCTGGTATTTGAATTGGAATTCCAGTCGAAGTCTCGAGCTGAAGTGTAGACCTTCCAGAAATACTGGTGAACTTGACCTTGGGCTTCATGACCTTGCGCAAGTAGTCTTTTATGCAGTCGTTAATTTCAATTAGGTAAACTGCCTCGTCAAATCCTTCTGGCATTCCGAGTCCTTCCATCCGACAGGAAAATATTTTCCCGACAACTGGAAAAAATTTTCCTTCCGACAGGAAAAATTTTTCCTTCCGACAGGAAAAGTTTTTCCAGTTGTCCGTCCGTAAACCATTCAAATTTTCGAAAATTGAGAACTTTTTGGTCGAACTTCAGGAAAAGTTTTTCCTTCCGACAGGAAAAGTTTTTCCTTCCGACAGGAAAAGTTTTTCCTTCCGACAGGAAAAGTTTTTCCTTCCAACAGGAAAGGTTTTTCCTTCCGACAGGAAAGGTTTTTCCTTCCGACGGTTAAGCCACAAACAGATGTCCCACGTCCCACCAACCGAGTCCATTCCCAAACCAGAGGAACCTAAAGAACCACAACAGTCTCCTCAGCAACCTCAGTTCCAGCAAGTCCCTCCACCAAATTACTACCAATTTCCACCTCAAGGTTACTACCTACCACAAGGCTTCCCGAACTACCCTCCTCCTCAGCCTATGCCTTACTTCCCCAACCCTTGGATGTTTCTGCAAAACCCTGCCCCACAATTCCAATCTCAATCCAAGAGAGACCAAGAGTTCGAGGAAGGTCTGAACCGCTTACGCAAAGAGTATGCTACTACCCCAATGGAAGAAGACAGGCTCTCACTCTCTTCCCTCAAATCGACCGATTCGACTCGTACCACAGATTCGGTTCGTGACCGTGAAGACTACCTCAAGCAGTCTGAGAGACTCTTCATCCTACAACCATTTACAGTTGGAGCTCTCAAGAACATGCGCAATTACGAAGGTCAGACACCAGCTGGAGACCGCAAAACAGACGTACTCGCAAGAGCCGTCCAACTGGTCAAGACAAAGACTGAGATAGTCGACTTCATTCTTGCAGCTTGCCCATACAAGTAAAAAAAATAAACAATTACGAGTTAAACTTTTTATTCTTTCTTTTCTGAGTTGTTTAGAGCTGGTTTCTCTTGTAGGAACCTTTCGTACTCTTCCATGGTCATGTAATTGCGAATTTTGTACGCAATTCCAGGTTCGTTGTTTTTGAACCTGATGTATGTAACGCTTCCATCCTCCTCGGGAAGTAAGCTGCTAACATCTGACCAAGTTTTCTCGGTGACTCGGAGCTCATAAAAATGTCACTTTTTAAACGTTAAGTTTTTAGTCTTATTTTACCCTTTGTTTACCCTTTGTTTGTCAAGGTAGTATTGGAGTGCAATTTCTCCAAATTCTCTGTGTCGGAGTTCTTCAGCATTTTCCAAGGTGTACCTGGAGAACTCAAAGAAGTTGTCAAGAAGATACTGCCATGCTGCTCTTCTGAGTTCGTCGGTATTTTGGAAGTGTTGCACCTTCGAGTCTTCGGACATGAAAAAATGACACTTTTTCAGCAAAAATAATGTTTATGTTAGAATGTTAGATCTAACATGTTTTCTAACATGTTTTCTAACATGGTCTAAAACTCTTGAATTTTCATGAAATTTACACCAAAAATAAAAAATAAAATTAGTTTTATTTTTTTTATTTTTTTTATTTTGTATAAAAGATATGATTTCAACAATCGGCACAACAACAGTTCAAACAACTACAGCACCAAACTCGTTAGTCATGAATCCTACGTCAATGTTGGTAGAGATGAAAAGCTTCATTCCTTCTTCATATACTTTTGAAACAAAAATCCAGAAGATAAAGCAAGAACTTTTAACAAATAATTTAGACTGTAGTGCGAAAGATGAAACAAATGAACAGTATCTTTATGAAATGCAGGACCTCATCGACCATTTACCCAAATTGCCTGAAATTCAGCAGCAAAAACTCCTATTCCCGAATTTGACGAAATAGAAGTCAAAGCAACTGACTCAGTAGAAATAAAGAAGTTCATACGAAAGGTAAACTATGAGTTTCTAGGATTTCATTGCAACCATAAGGTTATGGACAAAGATTGCGACATGGTATATAAGAACATCTCTGACATATATAAATCTGAAGAATTTAAGACCTACGACAACTTTGTTTCGTTAGTTGCTGAATGTGTATGGCAGATAAGAGATAAAGATAGAAGAGGCAAAGTATGGAACGAACAAATAAGACCCGCTATGTTTGAGTTAAAGAAAACCATTGACGCCTTAGTTGTTTTAGCAGGTAAGGTTTCAGAATATAACGCAAAAATGAACCCGCAATGTTCTAAATGTAAAGCGGCAATTAGGAAATATAACTACTCCGTCAAAGAGATAGAACGTATGCGAAACGACTATGCAGACTTAAAGAAAGAAGCAGAAAAGCCAGCAGAAGATAAAATGGACATGTTAGCATTTCTGAACAAAAACTATCCAACTGCAGAAGATTTCCTTCTATCTGATGTCAAGAAGAAGTATAAAGAAACTTTCGGTATCGTTAAAACATTCGATGTACTGACAGAAGAAATAGAAGCTACAAAATTGTTTAGAGTCATGAACCATCGCAACATATACCATGTAAAACGCTTGTAAATAGTTATGTTAGAAAACGTGTTAGAAAACATGTTAGATCTAACATGCTAACATAAACATTATTTTTACTGAATTCCGTATGAAATTTCATGAGTTTTGTGTGTTTTAGACCATGTTAGAAAACGTGTTAGAAAACATGTTAGATCTAACATTCTAACATAAACATTATTTTTGCTGAAAAATGACCAAATTTCATGAATTTCCTCATATGCTTGCTTCCCTCGAAAAACCGAGAGAAGAGATTCCGTATGAAAATCGTGAAGAACAGCGAGTAGGTAAGAAACCCCAGTCGCCAAAACTCATGAAAATCGTGAAAAATAACAGAGTATTTTGACAACTTCAAACAAGCAGAGTAAATGAACCATTTATTTTTATTGACTTTTTACAATTTGAACTTTGTTTGCGTAGATATGAATTCTGAAAGAAGTATGAGGGTCTTGTATGACTTTGTACTTCTCCCATAGTTCATGTCTGTCAAACTTACCTGCCATGGACTCTTTCATAAGTTCCATGAAATCGTCTTCGGACAATCCGGGGAAAAGTATTATGTCAGTAAGTATTCTTTTAACATCCTTACTTAAACTCTTTGCTGTCTGTACACAAATGACAACTGAGATGTTAAAGTGTCTGAGCTTCTTAAGAATTCGACACATGTCTTGTTCTCTATTCTTTAACAAAGGATGAGAAGCAAAGTCATCTAAGATAAGAAGACATCTATGAGGGTAAGTCTTCCAATCGTAAGATTGCAATTTCTTCGAAATGTATTCTATCTCTTTCTGTTTGTTTCTGAAGTGTTTCTTCTCTAATATTCTCTGCATTTCCTCATTTGGGTCTTTAAACTTAGAATTTATATACTCATTTATAGCATTATACTTCAAAACTCTTCTTTGGTACTTCTTTATCCAATCTAACAACTCAGAGTCTTTTATACATACTAACTTAGACTTCTTTATAATATCTTTGAACGAATTGACGGTTTGGTCAAATTGACCAGAAGTACTACAAATGACAACTAACTCATAGAATGGGTTCTTCTCATCTAGTTCTTGTTGTTGTGCAGCCATTTTAAGATAAGTGAAAGTCTTACCCGACCCAGGTGGTGCAATTAGACCTGTTATACCATTCTGAGCAAATAAGAACTTGTCATGTATAGGCTTTATCTGAGCATTTTCTAACTTCCTCTTGTTCTTGTTTAAAACATTCTCAAATTTCTTGTCAATGTCAGCAAACTTTTTTTCTAACATATTTTTAGAAAAATTAAAATTTTTATCTTTTTGAAAATGTCTAGCGATTTCGCTATCTATATTCGAGACAAGCTTTTCGACAGCAAAACATCTGTCGACCATAAAATCTTACATAGTGTAAACAAGAAAGGTGAATTTGTTCTAAAGTTCTGTTTCTGGGAATATGACAAGAACCATAAAACATTAAGCAGAGCAGTCTTAAAATTTGTCAATGACAGACTTGTTGACAGAGATGACGCCGATTGGAAAGATGAAGTCCAACAAAAGTTCTTAGAATGCAAAGAAGACACATGCGCCGTTCTTGAAGATGAAATAGAAAACAGAATAGATGAGCTATTAAAGGACAAAGAACTTTTACATAAATATGGTTCGAAATTTGACATAACTCCACCAGAGAAGAAGAAGAGAGAAGAAAGAAAAGAAAGAAAAAAGAAAGTAGAAGAAGAGAAGAAAGAACCGAGCCAGTTCCAGAGAAAAAGAAATTTGACATGTAAAAATAAAATTTTATTTTTAGAACATTTCTGGGTCAATGTCAATGTTCTCTTCCTCTTTAGGGGCAAACACTGGCTTAGACTCTAAAATCTTTTTACCCAATTTACCTTGAACTTCAACTATCTTAGACTCATAATATTCATAGTCGTCTGCTTTCTTTGGTTCATAAGGTATAACAAGTTTGTATGCTTTACCTTCTTTAAGGTTTGAGAACCTTCTGTCAAAATTTTCTTTGACTGCTAACAAACCTTCTATGTCTAAGTCTTCAAATTGCACCATTTTTCTCACAACAGCAAACTTAACTGGTTCGATGTTCCAAACTTTGCTGAATGTAGACTTTTCAAAATGGTAGAAGTAAACATTCAAATAAGCGAATGGGTCTAGTTCTTCTTTGACTTCTGTCATGTACTTATTTACTGAGATGAATTTCGTCATCTTTTCTATCGGATAAAAAATATTTTTTTTAAAATTTACTCAGAAAAATTTTTCTTTGTATATACGCCGTTCTGAACATCTAAAAGATTTTTGACATTTGCCAAGAATGTTCGTTTAGAAGCTGCCATATAACCATATTCTTGACAATATTGTTTATACGAGTCGTACAATGACCTTTCATCTAAACACTCAAAGTTAGTCTCATCTATAAACAGTTCATATACACTCTTGTTTGCTTCTAACAATGTTTGTCTCTCTTCGGTATATGGAATTTGTCTTGGATTGAACTTAGAAATATCTAATGTCATGAAATATGAGAACAAGTGGTTGTAAAAGTCAGATGTCAAAGTTTCTGCTAAGTCGTCAAAATATTCTGTATCTTGCATATGAGAATCTGACGTTCTGACAACTACATATCTTCTGTCAGAACTTTCTAACTTCATCGGAACAGCATTGTTTGAAACCATAATGAAGTTTGCAACATTTTCACAAACTCTTTGGTCTTTATATTTTCTTTCAACAACTCCAACTTTGTCTGTTATAAGACTCTTCAAAGCATCTGAGTTCAAAACTTTTGTTGTATCTATACTTTGAAGTTCATTGCAAACTATAAGTTTCATATTCTCTATTGAGGAGTTAAATTTACCGCAGATGTTTTCTATGTTTGTCATATTCGGGTTCGAATAGCCCTCTAACAGTTTGCATAAATATCTGTAAAGAATGTGTTCTTACCAGTTCCTTGTTTTCCAATTATAATGAGAGCAGTTTCATTTTTAGCACTTGGATGTTGTAAGATGTTTGCAAACCAACATAAGATATACTCATAGACTCTTTCGTTTCCATTGCATATAATTTCTTTGACATGGTCTAACCAAGCTTCTATAACATTTTCTTTCCATTCTACTTGTTCGTATTTATATCCAGTGAAGATAGAATAGAAGTTTGGAGAAGGTGTATAGAACTTTATACCACGAACTGAAAAATCTTCTAACTTTGACAATAAGATATCCCAAGCATCTAACATCTTCATGCCAACTTGTACGACTTTTATTTTCTTAAGTTTCTGTCTACATTCTTGTTCTGAAACTATTGTGCTCTTGGTTTGTTAAAGACAACATCCCATTCTTTCATACATAACATTCTGGGGCAGAGTCGACATAAATGACTAAACGTTTCAAATTCTCGACTGCTTTGTTATAGTCTCGAAATGGACACATATTTCTGAATGCTTGGAAGTCATAAAAATCTGAAACATCTATTCTGTACATTTTTATAAAAATAAAAAAAATATTTTTTTTATTCTTGACTTTGTTGTTGCATTTGTTGCATTTGTTGTTCTTGAGCTATTTGTTGTTGAAGTTGTTCTTGTAACAATACTTTCACCAGTTGCATCTTCCAATTCGAAACTTTCTGCCGTCATTGACAAATACATAGGACATAAAAGTTTTACAGGAACAAAGTTTGCGTCAACTAAGGTTAAGTTTATGTTTGCTAAAGTGTTTGAGTTTACTAAAGCTGAAAATCTGCATTCGAATGAACAATAGGCAAACCAGCAGAGAAAGTGTTGTTTATACGCATGAGTATCTTTTGGTCATAGTAGTTTCTGTCGACATTCGAATAGCACTTTGAACCTAAGTTTGAAACAATATATAAAATAGGTGTACTTAAAGTCAATGGAACAGACATTCCTTGTATGACACCTTTTCCTGTTATAGGAAACTGTTGGTAGTAAAAACCAGATATAAGTTTTGTATTATAGCTCATATCGTTTATAGTAAACTCAGTCGGACATCCAAACATAATGAAACCTGCTCTAGTTGCAGCACATGTTACATCCGTCCTTAAAGTATTAAATAAGTCAACAAAACCTGTTGGTGGTATATCTGAGTAAGTATCTTCAAAGAAGTATTTTTTACCATTCACAACAATAAAGTCTTCTGGTGTCAAAAGAGCAAAACAGGCTTTAGTCGTCATCGTGTTTAAGGTCAGTTTACAATATCGTCCTTGAGGACTTTGTAAGTTTGTTGTTATAGAATTATATGACTCAGGGTTTTTAGTCGTAATAGTATAAACCACTATGTCTTCTGCCATTTACTTAGCAAGTAAATTTTAATGAAATGTTGTGGTCGTCAAATATTTTTATGACGTCTGGGAAACTATATTTTAAGTTCAACGTTTCACCTCCTTTCATAACGTATATCTTGTCAATGACATTATATGAAACACCACAGCAACTAATGTCGGGTTCTATTTCTTTGATGTTTATATCGTCTGCCTCTGTCAAAAGTTTCAATAGTTCTTTCAAAACTTCATGAGGTGCAATGACATATGAGTTCACTTTTACAGGGTTGTGTTCGACCAAGTTTAACATTATACCAAAGCTTGACAAATCTTCTCCTGAGTTTTAAGTTTGTCTTTAAGTTGTTGGTAGTCGTTTCGAATATCTGCAACAGAACTTAAGTCTCTGCTAACTTCAGGATATGTTGGTTGTTCTTTTACAGGAACTATTGTTATACCATCTTCGTCTTCGTATGGTTTCCCCACTTCAACATCTCTTTCTTTGACATTGACAACAACACTTTGACTGTTTGTTTGAGTTGGTGAATTTAACTTCACATCTGCCACCGCCATTAAACCTTTTGAAACACTTACGCTTCTATTTTTCGGAAATGACATTTTACTTAGAATAAAAAGATGGACGTATTCGAGTATCTCTTCGAATTGAAGCAGAACAAAGTTTACACACACAAACAATACAAATACATTGACAGAATAGTTCTTTATACACAAACAATGGAAAATGTTATAGAATAGCAGTCTTTGCTGAACCAAAATATTTTCATAAAGCAAAGAAAGTTGGTATAACTGAAATGGTGAAAGTTCTTGAAGCAGACAAAAATATAACAACAAAACTGACAGATATTTCTAAAGGTAAGTTTATAATACAATTTTATGTCAAAACTGGCGTACTGTCAATATTTGACGGAGAGAAGTCAGTTCAAGAACAACTTACTGACCTGCTGCCAAAATCTGCTCGATGGAAGCTGTCGTTATGCCAATCTGAGGAGCCCCAGCAGGTTTCATCGAACGAATCTTCAAAAGAGCATCTTCCGTGAAAAGTGCTATTGGTTTTGTAAACTTCTTTGCTTTCAATTCATCTGGACCGTCTCTGTCACCAGTATATTGTATTTGAACTGTACCAACAGTTGAAATACCACCCATAAAGTCTTCTGAGTCAGCAAATGGAATGCCAAGCCAAAAGTTTGAACGGTCTCCATTTGTATATTGAGTTTTTTGACTCCTGTATGAGTCCATACTTTCACATATGGCATAATAGAACTTTGCATTTCAGGGTTAATGGTTGTTGTGAAGTTGTTGTTAAAGTTCATAGCATCTAATGTCAAGTTGTATGACCTCATATCCTCAACTGTAGAATATTCTTCTCTTGGATAATATTTGCCATCTATGTTTATATGATATTTAATACCAGGGTTGTAGAAACAAGAATAGTCATTTATAGTTCGTCTGAACAGTACAAACATAGTATCTGCATGTTTCATTGCAGTTGTTAAGCAATATCTGTTCTTGCACCTGGGTCAGCACTTTGGTTTCCAACTTCACCTGCAAAGTCTTTGACAGATATTTGGTGTATAGGGAACATAAGTGGAACTGCAATATATTTGGCAGCTAAAGCATTTGAAATATCTGGGTCCAACATATAGACTGCAAGTCTGCTTTCTATTCTCTTGCATTCAAATTTTTCGCATGTGAACTTAACTGGGTCCCAAGCATCTCCAGCAGCATTGAAATAATAGTTTACTTCAGTGTTGAGGTTTGAGAAACCAAAGTCTAAGTCAACTTTGTTTTTGCAAAAGTCGGCGAATGACATTTTATTTGTTCCCACTACTTCTGTAAGAGTGAATGGGTCTTGTGTTGGTGCAATGACTAAGTTATTTTTGCTTGGAGTAAGTTCGATAGAAATTTTTCCTGCCCAGTTTGGCAAGTATCTTAAAAACCTGAAGATGAGGAAAGATGACAAAGGAACTCTAAGTTTCAGTTTTACTTTGGTTACTGCTGCTGCAGTTTGTCCAGAAAGGTTAACATAAACTCCTGGAACGTTAGGGTCAAGTCTTCTTATTTTCTCAATAGTTGCATACTGGTCTGTTTGTTCTCTAGCTTGTGGTTGTACTGAGTTTCTCAAAGCGAACCATTCATAGTTTGCCCATGTTACTGTTTGAACTAAGTCAGAGTTAGAATATATCTTATATCCCATGAAAACTTCTGGAGCATATTGGTATCCGACATAGAAAATTCCATTGCAACCTTTCTTGTCAGACAACTTGGCAGAAGGTTTTATTTCAATGTCTTGTTCCACGTATAAGAATGAGTTGTCAATAGAAATTATATGAAACCTGTCGCAAGCAATATCTACTGTTGTTGAAGAACCTTCTCCAAACTCACCTACGTTTCCATAAGAAACAGCAGTTGTATATTCGTAAGTTCCAGGAACTATTTCTGACCTTCTAATGGCATTGTCGCATTCGTTATACCATTCGGAAACATTTCCATTCATGCATCCAAAACTGTTGGCGTTATATTCTGAGCGGCGTACATTTCATATGAGTAAAAATATAGAATAGTTGGATTTATATGTCATAATAGAACCCACGTGACCAAGCTTTACTTTCTTCCTGACTGAGTTTTTAACTCTTCTTTTTCCTTCATTGCCCTCTGCTTGAAGTTGTTGCATCTTTGCATTATGTTCATCTAGTATGTTGCAAATTTCCCATGTCCTTTTTGCCTTTTGGCTCTGGTCGCCCATCTCAGGTAACCTATATCCTAGAAAGAGTTTGTCATAGTTTGTATTTGAGTCTTCGCGTATTGTTTGCATGACTCTTTCCTGAGTTTCCGGTTCAAGCTCTTCAAACAGTGCCTGTCCATATGGAATAAGCTCGTTTCCAAATATATGTTTTTGTAGCCATTCTGGTTTTCTTTCCATGTTACCAACTATATCTTTTGTGAATGGGAAAGCTTTTACCCAATCTTTCAGTCTTGCGTCGTTTATTTCTGTAGTTGGTTTTATTTTGTCAAGGAACATGTTTTTCAATACTAACATTTCATTTGGTACTGTCCATTTGAGTTTTCTTAAATATTCATCCCTTCATTCATTGTCTGCAAAGTAAGTTTTTATGACATTTTGTAAACTTTCGTTTGCAAGGTCATGTACAATAGGTTCTCTTCCTTCTCTCTCCCTAACTTTCTTTCTAAACTCTTCACCAAATATACCATCTCTATGGTTCTGTGTAGTTCTTTGAGATAAATGTTCTAGAACGTCAGGTGTTATATTTCCATCAGCCATGTTCATTTCATACTGGTCCAAAATATCTGCATGTTTCATATCTTTCAATGGCATTAAAGCCGCGCTTAAAATACCAGCTATATCTGGTTCACCATTGACTTCCATTGCGTCTACAACTTCTTGGAATTGTGGTTGTAAGTTTATGAACCACCTATCCGGGTTAGCTTTATGACCCCATCTCATTGTAGTTCCATCGTCTGCAGAAACAAAAGTAGGTTTGTTTCCATCTTGGTTAGGTTCTGAATGAACTTTAAACAATGTTTCATTTCTATATGTTTTCTTGAAATTTAACCTTTTATTTCACCGAGTTCATCCGAAGATTGAACGTTAAATGCTCGTAAGTAAAAAGGGTTGTTGTATTTGTGTACATTTTTTTCAGTTCTTCCATTCTATGCTGAATATTTTCATCTGGTGTTGGAGTCTTTTGTATGTCGGCAAACATTTTTCGATATTCTTCTACTATGTCAGCCGAATTTTTTTTAGACTCTTGGAAATATTCCATATTCTCCGCATACTCTTGTTGAGGGTCAAGATTTTTCGGCTGTTCCAAATCTTCATCTAGTTCTGTGAAGTTAGTTTCCAAAGGAGGACTTGTTCGTTTCCTTCAGGCTCTTCTAGCTGTTGTTGCTGAACTATTTCTTCCATGTCTGGTTGTATCTGAACTTCTTCCTGTGGAGTTTCTTGTACCTCATCTGCTGGCATTTCATATATTCCGAGACCGTTTTCAACAATTTCCCTATCTACGTCATCCGCATTCATAAGCTTTTGTTCTTTCGTTCCGTCTCTATTTTTTACGCGTTTCATGACGAAAGTTGAATTGTCATTTAGCTCTGACATCAAATATCTCGGAGTAAATTCATCCATGTCATTTGGATGATATGCTATTAAATCATATCCCTTAGCGAGCTTGTATTTTCCAGGTTTGAGATTATATCCGTTTTGGTGCTGAGCCATAAAGCTAAATAGGTTCGGGTCAGTATTTCCATCCTTGAACTTTCTAATAGCTTCTTTATATCTGTCACTAAAGTCAACAGTATCTGGGAAACCACACTCTTCTTTAAGCATTTTTAAGAATTCTTGGTTTCCTTGTTCTCTACTTCTTTTATGTCCTTGCTCTGTTTGTGGTTGTTGTTGTGCAGGGTTTTGAACTGTTGGTTGCTGTGCTGGTTGTTGTGTTGGTTGTTGTGCTGGTTGTGGAGGTGGTTGTTGTGCTGGTTTTGGTGCATGCCTGTGTCTGTGTCCATGTGACGATGTAAATGTTTTAGGTAGTCCTGGTGCAGGTGCTTCTCTTGGAGGGTTTGGTGGTATATAAGTTCCACCAGCTGGCACATATGTTCCATCTGCAGCGTAATGTCCTACCTGACTTTTCGTTTTAAGAAAGCATTTACTAGGTCTGTTTTGGTCTGTTGTAACTCTTTTTCTTGACTTTCCACAACAGTTGCTCTAA